TCTTTCTATGAGTGTTGATAAATACATTGCAAGTTTGTTTATATATATATATATATATATATATATATCATGGGACAAAGGCAGACCTAAAAAAGGGGGAAGGGTGGGGGGGGGGGGGGGGTGTTGAGACAGCCTGATTAATACAGTTTGATTAGTATCTGACTGGTACCTTTTCATATTTCTAGATTATAGTGTTATATTGTGCTAAGAGCTTTTCTATTTTGCTAGAGTGTCATGATGTTGTTTCTTCTAACAACTTACCAATCCCTTACTAACTTAATAGAAGTCAGTAAAGAGATTTGAAGGAACTGTGGAGAAATTTGTTATCTGGATATTTTTGTTTATTAAAGTGTAACCTCTGTGAAAATAAATGTGTTTGATAATGTGTCTACACATCACCTATGTCTCAGGATATCAATGACAATCGTCCTGTAGTGGGGCCTTTTAATGCAACAGTCACAGTTCTGGAGACAGCTGTCCTTGGTCATGAGCTGAGGACCATCCCAGCTACTGATGCTGATCGCTCAGTAAGTTTCACATTTGTTACACATTGTAATGCAGCAAGTTTGTTGTCCAGTAGATGTGTTTTGAAATTATTATGTGTGTTTTGTACATAGCAATATATTAGAAGCAGAAGTTTGTTTGATGTTTCACTGATACCAAGTTGTAGTTCAGTGTTATGATGTTGTAACACACTTTGGGCAGAACAATTTCTGGCTTTTAGGGTTTTACTGTTATTTTATGCTGAGTAGATTGCCCATGCTTACTTTCTGAATGGAGGATACACATAATATTGTCAGTATCAATGCTGAGGGTCTGATACCCAGTTGCCATCAGATAAATTGAACCAAGTCTGTCAGAATTTGGAAACTGCATTCAAAACCCCATAAAAGCACTGAAAACATTAACATGAATTGTCATAAAATGGCTCAAGTATTTCTTAAACATGCTGTCATATATAATTTCAAATACTGTTACATTAAACCCTGATTGTTTGTTACATTGATTTTTTCAGTCTCCAAACCGAGATATTCGCTACAGAATAGTACAGACAACACCAGCCTCTACTAACCTCTTCTATATTGGAGAGCGTTCTGGCGTACTGGTTGTGTCCAGCTCCTTGCAAGCACCAGGAACAGCCAACAGTTATCGGGTATCTATTTATTTTGTCATGTAAATCAAGTTAGCATGCAAACTTTGTAGTAGTTTCTATTTTGTATTGGTCACAGTCAAGATGAATTTTAAACTAAATAACTAAGGACAGTTTCAGTCCACTTTATGTACGCTTATTCACTGTAATTTTCTAGTGTGAACTTGACTGATCAAATCATTTATTAGAATTGAAAAATGACTGATTCACTTATTATAATATGTTTTCATTTATTTCTCTCAGCAAAGAAAATATTTATATAAAGGGAATTTACAAAATGATTAATTTTTGTTGTACAGTTTTGTTTCTATCATTGATTTCATTGATTTTTTACTGAATTCACAAACTGCTTTGTGTAAATGAGTTCATGAATCTTGCATTTCTCAGCACATTGAATTTGAGATACCAAATTTTTGTTAATTTTGTTTAAGAATTATCAGACATATTATTTTGTCATTATATTCTTTTATGGTCGAATACCACTAATCATGTTTAACTGAATCAATGGTCATCTTCATCATTATTTAGTGTATCCATTGTAGAAGATCACTCTCATTGCAGCCAGGCAGAGAGACTTTCATTCCCTTATTAGTTACCCTACCACATTTGTGTTCATGCTAAAGGTGTCTCCCGGTTACAGCTGATAGCTACAATTAACCATTTGAGTCTCAAGGAATGCATCATAGGTTCATAGGTTCCTACCTAGAGGCCCAGTAAGGGCAATTTTACGCCTCTCTTGACTACCCGTTGGGCCTCTGATGCTAAACCCCCTGGGACTCAAGAGTTAACAAAGATGCTTCTTTACACTGCTGGAAAATCATTATTTCTCACAATGATTACTTCAGTGTTATTTTTTTCCACTGGTGTTCCACGACTGTTGATTATGAAGTCAAAGTGTTCAAAGTAAGTAAGTAAAAGAAACAGACCATTTTCCACACCATCAGGTCTAATGCGCATATAGAGCTGCACCGATATTTTATTGACCTGTCGAAATTTGTTGGGTGATGTGGTCAGCAGCATGCTGACCGCCTTTACTTCCCAGGACTGCACCTGCTATCCACTCAAGGCTGGATCAACCTTGGAGCCACGGTCATTTTTGAACCAAGTCCAGTTCCATCAGGACTCGAACCCATGATCTTCCCATCCACAGGTGAACATCTAACCTACACCACGGCCACTCCAATGTTCAAAGTGTGTCACGTTTTACTAATGTTAAAAAAAAAAACCATTAACTAAATTTCATTGTTTTGACAAGAGTGTACAAAATGTTTCAGGTTGACATTGAAGTCTACGATCTTGGCAGTCCACCTCTAACAGCACCTGCAGGTGTGACAGTAACCATCATCAGGAATCAGCAACCAATCTTAGGTAGTGATACAACCCTGTCTGTGAATGAGACAATACCTGTCAACACAGATATCTTTACAGCTATAGCTGTTGACCCAGACACAAATGTTGTGGTAAGTTTAAATTTACAGTTTGTGAGTCTTTGTATCTAACAGTTATAAAAAGTGGTTTGAATCTTCTCATGTAAATTGTCTGCAAGCATAGTTTACCTACATAGGTCAAATATGAAAAGTGTCACAGGCATTAGATAATTGACACCAACACTATAAGATATCCAGATTATGTAGAACTAATTTACAGTGAATTAACTAACAGACACCTTATAGTATAATTACATTTTAATAAAACAAATTATAAACGCCTCTGAAAAAGAAAAAAAAAAGATATACCACAAAGTTACATCTCAAATTGTTAAGCGGTAAATCAGTTTAATCTTGGAAGAGTCATTACATTTTATGATGACTTACGATCAATCACACTTTCTTGTGACATGGCACATGATGATGACGAGTAATCTGACAACAGATTCATACATTTTTAGATACACTGTGATGGGAAAAAAAAAGGAGATGGGGTGTGCTGCATGCGTGCCTGCGTGTGTATGTGTGTGAAAAAAAAATTGTAGAAAAGTTTTTGTATGTGTTGAAAAGTATTTTAATATGAGTTGTATTAGTATGGGTATAGGGAGAAAAATTGGGAAGAATAAAGATATGATATATAACTAGAGAACTAGAGTTGCTTTACACTTAAACAATGTGTGTGTGTGTACGCGCGCGCAGGTTTGCATGTGTACTTGCATGTGTGCGTACAAGTGTGTGTTTGTATATATGTTTTTATCTTCACCCACATGCACATGTGTGCGCACACAAACACACACACAACACAGTAATAATGGAGGCTAACAGGTAACACAAGAGTAGAAACTTGTGCTACAGGGGGAACAAGTACGAACAAACAATATTTAGAGGTTAGGCACAACAGGAAAACTCACTAGAGTTTAAAAACTGCCATTGAGATATAAAAGTGACTTTTAGTGCTGGATTTGAAAAATAATAGAGAAAAACTGTGAAATTAGTCTAGTAAATAATGTCAGAAATAAAAATAAAAAAATTTTAAATTATGTGATTGAACCTTTTAAACTGCTATAGTTATTTTTTTTTTAAAAACTTTTATTGCTCTTGCATATCTTTATTTTTCTTTTAGTGTAATTATTTTGTAAGTCCAAACTAAAATTTTGATGATGACAAAAATTATCTCACTTGAAGACAAAGCAGCCAGTGGATACTAACTGTATTATCATTCATGTACAATTAATTAATAGAAATTATAAATGTAGTGATATCCTCTATAGGCCTTAATGATATGTTAATAAAGGTTTTTGGGCTCTCCTGTCAAATCCGGACGAAGAATAAAAAGCCTTGGACGACTTAGTCAGAGTTCTCTCCCTTGGCCGCACTGCAAACAGTGATCGGAAAAGCCAACGAAACAAACGACACACTTACCTATCATCATACTGTTGCGTGTAGGGCTGCATACGGTTGCGTGAGGCATCGTGAAGGGATGCGTGGTCATCATATGGTTGCGTGCAGGGTTGCGTACGGTTGCGTGAGGCATCGTGAATGGTTGTGCAGTCATCATGCGGTTGTTGGGTTAGAGTTAGGGATAGGGTTAGGGTTAGGGGTAGGATTAGGGTTAGGGGTAGGGGTAGGGGTAGGGTTAGGGGTAGGGTTAGGGGTAGGGTTAGGGTTAGGGTTAGGGGTAGGGTTAGGGGTAGGGTTAGGGTTAGGGTTAGGGGTAGGGTTAGGGTTAGATGTGAAAATTTTGACGTAGGGTTTCTAAATAGTGGCCGACAATCTGATGTTTGTGGGCGTGGCGCCACTGAAATTCTGCTAAATATGACGCCAATAGTGTGTGGCTGGTGCCCAATCGTTGGCGAATTGTGCGTTTCACCAGCATCCAGAGGCCCTCAGTGCATCGGAAGAACGATGTTACTTATGTGAGTGCGTCTAACTGCCATGTTGCTTGTGTTATTTGTTTCGTTGGCTTTTCCGATCACTGTTTGCAGTGCGGCCAAGGGAGAGAACTCTAAGTCGTCCAAGGCTTTTTATTCTTCGTCCGGATTTGACAGGAGTACCGGTTTTTGGGTGTTTGCCAGCAACATTTTTCAGTGACTAATAATAACATAGAAGTCAGGCCACTTTACTTACTCAACATCACTGTCACTTAATCAGTCTTACTACAAACACACAAACATGTTTGATCTCCTCTACTGCATAAATATTTTACAAGTATATTTATGAGATTATTTTTTAATTGTTGTCAACATATTCTTTTAACAGATGTTGGGTTCTAAACTAGTTTTTTTTTCCCTAAATATTTGTAAATTTTTTTTGAAATATGGTTCCCATTTTATGCAATTTGTCTTTATTTTCTACTCAGCCGGAATTTGATCAAGTGACATACAGATTGACTGGTGATGGAAATGCTCCAACATTCTTTGCAGTTGAACCAACCACAGGGAAAATAACAGTAATCCGGAGTCTGTCTCAGACAAAAGAACTATTCTTCCTTGTAAGTTTTCTGTTGGTTTCTTCATTGTTGTTCTCATTATGATTCGTGTTTTAACTCACAAAGCATGCTGAGAAAGTTGAAGACAGGTATGCTTCGGGCAGAGTGGCATGCATCGCTTCAGAGGTACAGGGTAGTTAGCATACATTGGATGTTTTCTCCAGGCTATGCAGGTGTGTTGGGAAATGAACAGGCAGATTGAATAGCTGGTTGTGCACCACTCAGTGGTAAACTGATGCAAGAGCAAGCTAGATGTTGTCAAGACCCTATGGGAGTGAATGGACAGTGCAGAGGCACAATTGGATTATCATGATTTCAATGGAATGGTGTAGAGGGGAGTGACTGGCTGAGACTCCACACTCAGAGGAAAGGTGAGAGGGACTTACAGTGAGATTGCTACTGGTTGGCACTCTTTGCTGGCTGCTGAAGATAGGGAAGTAGCACATATGGGAATGTCCCGAGTTCTGTGATTTGGGTTCTTGAACTCAACTCACTGAGCTCTGCTCAAAATGGCAATGAGTCTTTAGTATGGTTACAGCTGTATAAAATCTATTCTATAAATATTTTCACAATGTTTCAAGTATATGCCAGTAGGCAACATTTGTTTTTTACTATAACCTAGGAGGGTTTCAATAGGTTTTAAGAGGTATTGAAAATATTGAAGAATATTAATGATTACATCTGAATAATATATTTATAAGAGCAAAACTGTAAATAATTACTACAGTCAACAAGGAAGATGTTGAAACTATGACAGACATTGAATACCATGTCTCTATGTTTAGCAACATGAGGGAATTAATCACACACAAAAACAAAGTCAGAAGAAAGCTGGCCCTGCAAAGGGAGAACACTTGGACAATGAAATCCTTTTAGCCTCATTAAATGCTACAGAGCTTTAGACACAAAAGTAATGGAATATCTGGTTTAAGAAAGTTGAAGCAGGGGTAGACCAGCATGAGAGGTGACCCAGGACATTAAAAACACAGGGCATGGAGATGCTTAGGGAGGAAAAACTGGTGAAGAATTGAGAATCTGTCTGACAGATTGAAATTTGTAGCATTCATTAAAGGATTTGCTTCATGCTAATGTTGAAAACGGGAGTCGCCGTGGCTGAGCGGTTAGACGCTCGCCGCGGATTGGAAGGTCGTGGGTTCGCTCCCTGCCAGGGCCGGACTTTTTTCAAAAATGACCTTGGCTCCCAGGTCGACCCAGCCTTGAGTGTGTACACGGTGCAGTCCCGGGAAAGTGAAGGCCGCCGGCGTGATACTGACCACATCACCCATCTTGTGCCGATTGGTCTATAAAAATACAGGTCTAGCCCTATATGCCCTATACGCCTAAAGGAGTGGAAAAGGGTCCTTTACTTAACTTTTTTTTAATGTTGAAAACAGCAAAGTAAAAGTAATGGACCCTTTTAAAGTCATCAGGCTTACTGGGTATATTGGGCTAGTCCTATATTTTATGGACAAGTCGGCACTTGATGGGTGGTGTGGTCAGACGGTGGGCTGGGGAAATTCCACCAGATATTAAAACCTTTCAGCACACTTAATTTTTGTCAGTATCACACGAATCACCTTTAATTCCTAGAACATCTTCCTAGGACATCAGATTTTCATTTAAAAAAAAATAATCTTTACCTTGACGAAGATTTAAAGACATGACCACTGTACATGATTGCAAGGGTCCTAAGTACTTTAGAAACTACCTCCAACTGATTATATTACAGAAATATAAATATATAATTTTTGTGTGTGTATATTTTCAGCTGAGAATTGTGGCCATAGATTTGGGTGAAAAGTCAGATGAAATGACTGTCAACGTGTCAGTGAATCGCAACCTCTTTGCACCATATATCAATCCATTATCATACATTAGAATAATTCCAGAGACCTTCGTCTTGGGAGATAGTGTTGTAGAAATTCTGGCCTCGGATTTGGATCAAAATGTAAGTACAACCTGTTTCATTACTGTAATGGATATATATTTTTTTTTGAAATGTGTGTACCAGTTGAAAGTTAAAGTGAAAGTATTGTCATTGTAATGTCTTAAACTACTGTACTTCGTGGACAATAAAATATGCAGTAAAATAAGAGGTGTGATTGACATTTATTGATCATAACCTGGTTGTTTTTCTCCTATTGCCAGGGCCCATGGAATTCCCTAAGCTTCCTGATTGTGAGTGACTCCACCTCTCTTCAATATTTTTACATAGATAACAGTGGCATCATCCGTCTGAAGCAGTCCTTGGTCCAGACAACTCAGAATGAATTTCATGTAAGTTGTGGCCAATGTTTTACAATTCCTGAAAATGTCATAACATCTGCTATTTGTTGTCTACACCTGGTTTGTGTGAGACTTAAACTTGATAAATAAAACTATACCTGAATTGGCAGTGAAGCTGGTTACACCTGGGCTTATGTAGGTATAATGATTACACTAGGACTGGAAGGGGAGTTGAAGCATAGTTACAAGAAGATTTGAAGTAAGCTGACTATGGTGACCATATTGCTGGGACAGCATTTTTTTTCCCCAGGTAGTGACAAAAACTCAGGACACTGGACGGGTTTTGTTCTTGTTTTTGTGTGTGTAAAAAATGGACTGTCTGTGCCTACCTATTAAAAAAAAATGATACCGTCCTGGCAAACACTGGACTTACTGTCACCCTGAAGCTGATAAATGATTTTACAAAGCCTTTTATTGGATTTGAAGCATGATTTCTGTAAAACTGATGTGGGTTTAAAAGAAATATTAAATACATCCAGACTATTGTTCATTTTAAAATCATCTTCACTGCATATCAGGCATACCTATAAGTGCTGAGGTATTTTCCTCAGCATTCATCTGGTCTCTAATGGAGTTGAACTATGACCGCACCTGGACTAATGTGGAAGCTAAACCAATATTGCACTGTGTTGCATCAGCAGGTGAAGCATGATTATGCCAAGGCAGAATGAAGCTAGTTATTGCAGGACTAGTAACGGGGGATTAAAATTGATTTCACATAGATGCACAGTTTTAAAATTATACCACGATTGGAATAACTATAAAGCCTGTCTAGTCACATTTTGAATTAGATACATTCTTTTTTTAGTGTTTGTTTTTGTTTGTTTAAATAACTTCCTTTGCTGGTTATATTTGTTTCTGAAGGTCACACTGTTCATATTTTGTGATGAACATTTTATAAAAGCAATTTAATTATAATACGTTATATTTTGTTATGAATTCACATGACTTCAGGTTCTGTTTGACATCCTAGTGTGCATCATTATAGTTATTTTATCCTGTTGGGTTCTCTTCTATACAGTGGCTCGATGAATCATTGGGTGTCAAACCTTTAGGTTGTGGTCAGAGAGAGGGAAAATGGGAAAACATTTGCAATAACCAGTTAATCCCTCATCCCTAACCCATCTGGAGATGGCACGGTACTACAGGTTTAGAGGTTGAACGGAGTACCTAGATCTTTTTTTAAATTTAGATTCAGAATGTGGTTCCTCACATCACTAGGGTGTGATACAAAGAAATAGCTGGTAAGAGTGGGAAATCACTCACTATCCTGTTCATTTATATATATTGCTGCTGTTTCTGTTTCAGATGTTGGTACGAGTCAGTGACCAAGGTGATCCCCCTAACATTGCTCCAAACATGGCTAATGTTACTGTATATGTGACCAAAAATGTGTATAATCCAATATTCTTCAATGAAACCTACAGCTTGGTCATTCCTGAGAATCAACCAGTAAGCTCAGTCTTGTTTACACTGACTGCAGGAGATAATGACACTGAGGTAAAAAGCTATTAATTTATTTACAAATAACTTTTGTGTATAGTGTATATCAGAAATATAATTTTTTTTTCTCTGTAGTTCTTAAGCATTTGGTCATTAGAGATACACAATGCATGTTTGCAGAATTCATGGTCTACTAAATATAGGGTTGAATAATACATACTTCAAGCAAGTTCACAAACTTTAATAACTAGGAAATGTGATTACAGAGGTGGCAGATTAAACAGGGAGGCATTAGTAAGATGACAACATGCAAGGGCATCTATTTTCCATCTGGTCTTAGATATCCAAACATCATCATGGATTATATGTATTTTTTTAATAACAACATTATGTTACCAGAGCAGACTTGATACTATGAATGACTTAAGTAAAATCAATGGGAGATGCATAAGAAAAGCTGTAAATTTACCCATCGGAGACAAAACATTACACAGTACTATCAGACTGACTGTGTGAGCAACACCTTGTATTGTTAAATATGTTGAGAAACAGAAGATTAAAGGGTTTGAAGATCTCATAGAATGCACTAAAACCAGTTACCAAAACAGACCTTACACACAAAGAAAATCTTATGTGAGAGAAACAGGACACCCAAGAAAAAATATGAACTGACAACGTTAAAGACATGGTACATACATAGAATGACAATAGCCTGAGACAGTTGTCGAGCACTTTGCCACCAACTGTTTGTATTCATATCACTTGGTGGGAAAGGGTTCCCTAAGCTGCTGCACAGTGACTTTGCTCCACAATGCCATTGTGAACTGCACAACTCTCATGATGCTTACACGGTTATTTCAGAACTTTGTAGTGGATGGTGTTGATGTTGATTATAAATATAAAAGTGTGAACTATTCTTTTATTTGCCGGACATGTTTTCTTGCAAGAAGACATCCCACTTTGTTTCATAGTTCCTACTGTGTGGTCTGTTCTTAGGTTCTTTTACCTCCAACACATTTCTCCTTGTTTGGTTCTCAATTTAAGACATGTATAATATTGTACACAAAGTTGGGTTAAATGCATGTCCTATACAGCAGGCATGTCAAACAGGCGGCCTGCAAGCTTCGTTAAGGCACTTGCAAGTACACCTGTACACAAAGGAAATATTCTGCAGTAATTTTTATTAAACTACTTCAATTAGTTGTCACCTTTTGGCCCTAATGATGACACAACTATGACCCATATAGCCCAAATGATGACACAACTATGACCCATGTGGCCCTAATGATGACACAACTATGACCCATGTGGCCCTAATGACAACACAACTATGACCCATATTGCCCTAATGATGACACAACTGTGACCCATATAGCCCTAATGATGACACAACTATGACCCATGTGGCCCTATTGATGACACAAATATGACCCATGTGGCCCTAATGATGACACAACTATGACCTATGTGGTTCTAATGATGACATAACTATGAACCATGTGGCCCTAATGACAAAACAACTATGACCAATGTGGCCTTAATGACAACACAACTATGACCCATATGGCCCTAATGATGACATAACTATGACCCATGTGGCCCTAATGACAACACAACTATGACCCATATGGCCCTAATGATGACACAAATATGACCCATGTAGCCCTAATGATGACACAACTATGACCCATGTCGCCCTAATGACTACATAACTTTGACCCATGTGACCCCATTGATGATATAACTATGACCCATGTGGTTCTAATGACAACACAATTATGACCCATGTGGTTCTAATGACAACACAACTGTGACCCATGTGGCCCAAATGACAACACAACTATGATCTATGTGGCCCTAATGACAACACAACTATGACCCATGTGGCCCAAATGATGACATAACTATGACCTATGTGGCCCTAATGATGACATAACTATGACCCATGTGGCCCTAATGACAACATAACTGTGACCCATGTGGCCCTAATGATGACACAACTATGACCCATTTGGCCCTAATGATGGCACTAGTATGACCCATATAGCCCTAATGACAACACAACTATGACCCATGTTTCCCTAATGACTACATAACTTTGACCCATGTGGCCCTAATGACAACACAACTATGACCCATGTGGCCCCATTGATGACATAACTATGACCCATGTGGCTCTAATGACAACACAATTATGACCCATGTGGTTCTAATGACAACACAACTGTGACCCATGTGGCCCAAATGACAACACAACTATGATCTATGTGGCCCTAATGACAACACAACTATGACCAATGTGGCCCAAATAATGACATTACTATGACCTATGTGGTCCTAATGATGACACAACTATGACCCATATAGCCCTAATAACAACAGAACTATGACCCATGTGGCCCTAATGATGACACAGCTATGACCCATATAGCCCTAATGATGACATAGCTATGACCCATGTGGTTCTAATGACAACACAACTATGACCCATGTGGCCCTAATGATGACACAACTATGACTCATGTTGCCCTGATAAAGACATAACTATGACACATGTGGCCCTAATGATGACACAACTATGCTAATGTGGCCTCTAATGACAACACAACTATGACCCATGTGGCCCTAATGATGACACAACTATGACCCATGTGGCCCTTAGGGAACTTTCAATTTGACATACCTGCTTTCCAGGACATTGCAGAACCAGCCCCATAATTTTTCTAGGCAAACTGCACAAAAAAAAAAAAGATTTCCTTTTTTGTATATTTATCCATTCTGGCATGAACTTTCATTTCTTTTACTGATGTGAAAAAGTTTACATGAGAGGTATAATACATATAAATTTAAGTGAACTGTCATATTGAGTGAATTATTTAAAACACTTTATTGACATAATTTATTATAATATTTCATATATAAATAGCAACTGTTTTCTTGTTTGTTTTATTAGTTCAACAAACTGACCTACTTTGTGGAAGGTGATCTGACAGCTCCACAGTTTTTTGGAGTAAACCCAAACACAGGTGCAATTACTGTGACGGCCCCACTGACTCAAACTGGAACAAATTTCTTCACTGTAAGCCAGATTAAAGTTACATAATTATGTAAAGTAAAAATAAAGGACTCTTTTTTCCATGCTTTCAGGTGCATTGGGTATATAGGGTTAGACCTATAACATCCGAATTACCTATAGTTTATGACAGATTATCAGCTCACTATCATCAGACATCAGATCATCATCATCGTGTGACAGCTCACGCTAAGCTGCTTTTTTTTCAGCCACTTGTTTCTCTGTGTTTGCCAACTTGCTGGCTCCTGTAGATGACTATGAGTTCTTCAACTTTATCTCTAGTGTTATTTAAAATTTCACAAGCTGATATTTTTGAAAATGACATGTCCTGTTGGTAGCTGACAAATATTAGCATAACAATTAAATGACTTCAGCTCATTGTCATGTAACAGGTCCTTTGCAGAACGTTGCTCCCATCAAGGTCTACCTGAATGAAAAAATAAAGATCTCCTGCCCTGTGTACTTTCATATTTGAGGAGTCACTTATATTTTTTGCCTATCTTAGTATTGATCTGCACCTGCCCTTCCTTCCTAGTACCTTGACTCTGTATTATTTTTTCCAGTCCTCCATAGCGCTTGATATTACCAAAGTATTCAGCTTTTGAGCCAAGATTCTGTTTATTAGCCAATCTTCCATGTTTTCAGGTGGACAGTTTCTTATCAGCTGTCCGTACTGGTTGCAGAGCACTTATGGTTTATAACCATGTCCAATGACACTAGTTCATATCTCCTGACTTACCTTGATGTTATGATCTTTTAAAATGTCACTATTTCTTTTATTTTTTCCCCTATGGTATTCTGAGAATCTTCCTGTAGCATTTCAGCTCAAAAGCCCCTGGCAGACAGTTCGTATGTTGCTACAAGGAATTAGCATTCTCCCAAAATTTGAATTTTTATTTCCTTGCTGGTGCTTAACCATAGATTTTTATTGCTGTTTAATCTTTGCATTGCTATGGTCATTCTCCTTTTGATTTCTTTTGGAACAGTCTCCATTGCTATTTATTACAGAGCCTAGCTTTTCAAAGTTATAGTGATATTTTCAATGTCTTCATCAATTTATTGATATTTTTAGGTGACAGCCAGTTTTGTCTGTGGAAATTGTTTTTGTTTTCTTCAAATTCAAGAATAGGCTTTGATCTTAACGTCACGTCTACAGTAAAAAAAAAAAAAAGGCAGAAAAACTTCACGAGGAAGATGCTCACCATCATAATGTGTGGAGGTGAATTCTTTCCTATTTTTTTTTGCGTGCCAAATCTAATTCTGCTGTCCGTTCATTATAGTTTTACACATTTTACAACACACCCCCCCCCCCCCCACCACCCCGACTCTAACAATATCAGCATGTTTTATTGTGACTCATTAGGTTGTAAGAAACTGTTATTTTAAGTGATACATTTGTTTGCATTGTGTGTTGTGAGGCCCCATTTTAGGGGGAAAAAGAGTAGACCTGCTGCTCCCCTAACAAGCATGTCATAAAAGGCAAATTTCAAATTATGCAGCTGTCTGAGAAATGAAGAACCGACAGTTTGCAATATAAATACTCTAGATCTGTAAAATGCGTGTGCATAAAAAACTCAGTTTCTGGAACAAGACCTAAAGTCTAGAAGTAGATGAACAACCAGGTCTTTCTGCCGGAGTTTACCGCTGGTGAAGAAAGACGTAGTAGTAATAAATGTTTAGGTCTGAGGAGCTACAGTAATCAGCTCTCTGAGCTAGAAGGAGTTAAACTGAGAAGTGGTACATAGTGGGCTACTTTAATAACTGATAACTACACAAGGAGTTAAAAACAAAAGTATCATGTCAGTTGAAACTAGCAGATGCATAAGTTGAGCGGCTTAACATATTCATTTACATACCAATTCTTTAGGAGCTGTGTTAGTGCAGCTGCTCACTGCTGGCCTATTAGCCCAATGGGCTTGAGTTTGAATCCACAATTGGGCCAATTTTTATAATTGACAAAAGGTTCCTAGAGCACTCAGCCTTGAATGGGTACCAGGTAATGTCCCAGGAAGTAAAGGCAGAAGACATGGTATTGACCACTTAACCATTCATGTGCCTTTTGGTTGTAATACAATATCAGCTTCTTAGTGATTTTCTTATAATTCTTAAAGAATTGCTTTAGTGTGTTTAATACATCTAGATGAAATAGAACCTTCCACACAAATAAAACATAACTTGCCACACAAATAAGATAGAACCCTCACACAAATTAAACAGAACCATTCACACACCAAAAATTTTAAAAATTTGGTATTTATTAGTAATTTTATGCTACACATGTTACTTATTTATTTTTGTCTTATTAGCTTCGAGTTGGAGTCATTGATAATGGGGCAATGCCAAGGCGTGCATACGCACTCGTTTTCATTCGTGTGACCCGCAACTTTGGTCCTCCCTATTTCATAAGTAATCAGCCTAACCAAGCTACTATTCCAGAGAATGCTGCCCCAGGCTTTTCTGTCATGCAGGTCTCAGCAAAAGATGATGATGTGACAGTAAGTGCTTAGTTATATTACACGGAACATATCATTAGAACATAATCTTGTAGAGTGTGGACATTTTGTAATTATATTTACATTAAAGACATAATCTGAACACAGTTTCAGATTGTAGTCATGTTATAATTATATTTACATTGAAGACATAATCTGAACATAGATGTAGATTGTGGACAACTGATAATTATTTTACAGAAAAGGTGAAGTTTGTGGAGAGATACAAGTATAAATAACTAGTAAAGTAAAGGACCCTTTTCCACGCCTTAAGGCATATTGGGCATATATGGCTAGACTTATATTGTATAGACTAGTACCAATTGGCACTTGTTGACGATGTGGTCAGCATCAAGCCAGACACCTTTACTTTCCAGGACTTTACCTGGTACCCACTCAAGGCTGGGTTGACCTCGGAACCGAGGTTATTTGTAAAAAAGTTAAGTTCTGTCAGGACTGGAAATAAATCACTAGTTAATGATAACTAAATCGTAACTGCAAAAATCTTGTCCTCATTTATTGTCGCACACCAACCTTGTGGTTATTGTCTGCTACTGCCAAGTGAACAGAAGGGCCCGCTCCTGAGATCTCTTCCTGCTCTGATGCTGCAAGGCATTCCAGGAGTAGAAAATAGAAGAAGAAGACTCAAAAGTCAATAAAATTACAGAATCAAGAACCTTCACACAGATCATTCTGCTACAGAGACATTAGCAGTCAGCACTTAATGATTGATGTGATCAGTTTCACTTGGGTAGCCTTTACTTTCCAGAACATTTCCTGACTTTGGGCTTTAGAAAACGCACCTCTGTAGTTGGTTTGAACACACTGACTATTAGGCTGGCAGACAAGTGTGCTAGTCACTGTGCTACCATGGCCCCCATTAAGTAACTTACATTTGCCATAATATTTGAATGTAACCTGAGTCTGGACATTTCTCTATGTGTTTGTATATAATTTTGTCAGGCTCCCAACAATCAGTTTGATTTTAGTATTGTGTTTGGTGGAGAATACTTCAAAGTTGACCCTACTACTGGATGGATTACTGTGAATGTACCTCCAAATTTTGATCCTAACAAAACCAACAGCTATCAGGTCAGTTATCGTCAATGTTTTACTGATTTTGTTTCCATATGTACGTCTTAAATCAGGCCAGCAGTCTTGGCTCATTTGTTTGCTGTGCAGTATTGCAGCAGTCAGCAATTGAAGTCTGTTATCTGTTGTTACAACCTTCTTGCATTTATTTTGAGTTCCCATGTGTTGTAACAGCTGGCTTGTTACTTCTTCTCCTCAATCAGCTATCTTGTCTGTTGTCTTATTCTGCTGTCATCAGCTGTCATTTGTCTGTGCTCATATGTTACAGCTTTCTTGTTCCCATTACCTATCCTTGATAGTTGTGGAGTCCATGTCTGTAAATTTTGTGCATACTTTTAATGTTACTTCTCTGACTGTTTCTTTCTTGTTTCACAATTTCATTGATCATCCCCTCCCCCCCCCCCCCTTTCCTTCACAATTGTCATGATGTTTTGCTGTCTCTTAGTACATCTATGTCAAAACCTCCTATCAGCAGTCTTTTGCATCCTTCACATATTTTGCTGTTGAATCACATCAGTCATGTACAGTATCTTTTGCATTCAGAATTTATCCTACAGTATTCACATTGTCTGCTGTCTCATCACACAAAGCTATATGTTGTTTCATCACAATTATCATCTCATTTTCTGTATCAGAACATCTACTGCATGCTGTCTCTTATAAGCATCTTCTGTTCTATGCAGCTTTTAAATTGCGTATTGTCTTTTATCATATGGATGTTGTTTCTTAACAGCTTTCAGTTAGCCTGCTATCATGTTACGTCTACTTTTAAACAGTTCTCTTATCATCTGTTTTACAGTTTTATTCTTCATTCTCATCTGCTCTCTCTTCTCCCCTATCTCTCTCTCTCTCTCTCTCTCTCTCTCTCTCTCTCTCTCTCTCTCTCTCTCTCTCTCTCTCTCTCTCTCTCTCTCTCTCTCTCTCTTTCTGTCTCCCTCACTTTTTTTTTTTAATTCTTTAAAAGTGCCCATATCTATTCAAATCTGAATCTGCTGTCTGAATAACCAATTGTTTCCTGTCACATTCATACTTATGTCTTCTCTTAAAATACCTCACTTGACAGTTGTTACAAAGTTTTCATTGTCTGCATTTCGGATAGCTCCCTACACGTTATTATTTCATTTCAGGAGGGGGGGGGGGTGGGGGGGGGGGGGGTGGGGGTGGGGGGGGGGGGGGGGGGGGGGGGTTATTTAATTAAAACCCTCTCTTTGTCTGTTTCCACACTTTTTCTTTTCCTTATATTTTTTAAATTAGCTGTGGTTTTCTCTCCTACTAGATTACACTGGTGGCTACAGACAGAGGAAATCCCGCTCTTCAGTCCCTCCCATTTACTGTAACCGTGAGAACAATTCGTAATCTCTATCCACCTGTATGGGTTGGAGAACCCTATGTGTTTAATATAATACCACCTTTCACTGAAGGCCAAGTGCTTGGTCAGCTGATTGCAAATGATGCAGACAGTGTAAGTATCATCAGTCTGTTGTAGATCATTGTATTGCTGTGTTGTGGGCCTCCATTATGAAGTGATCAAGCTATTTGTCTTGTGCCAAAGTGCAGGTGTTGGCTCCTTAGTGCAGTTGTTTTTTATCCATGGTGGAGACATCTCTGTATGAGATATTAATGAATAAGACTCTCTGAATGAGACATCACTGAATGAGACATCACTGAATGAGACATTACTGAATGAGACATTGCCGAACGAGACATCACATCACTAAAGTTCCAAAGTTTATTCTTTGTATAGCGTTCCCAGCAGATAATCAGCTGCTCTGTCAAAAGAGACTGAAACTAAAGGGTAAACCTGGTGAAGTGAAGGCATTCCTCTCATCTTAAACCCCCTTTTGTTTGATCAAGAAAGATTTTGCAGCTGTTTGAGATAGGGGATATGTAGTAGATAGTGATCTGTGACCAGGGAAATGCTAGGATAAAACTGCCTAAAAGTCATACACTATGAGATTCCAAACAGTGTAACATACATGCGGTGAGGCTATAGTATTTGCCTTTAGGACAAGCAAAGTCTTTTCACAAGAGATCTCTGCATATGCTGCAAAAGTAGCAGCTGTATTGTTGTAAGTGAAAGTAAAAGGACCTCTTTTAAACCATTGATGCAATGGGCATATGATGCTGGACTCATTGGCATGCAATGGGTGATTTGCTCACCATCAGAACTACTGCCATTAAATCTTAGGACATTGGGTGATTTGCTCACCATCAGAACTACTGCCATTACATCTTAGGACATTGGGGGATTTGCTCACCATCAGAACTACTGCCATTACATCTTAGGACATTGGGGGATTTGCTCACCATCAGAACTACTGCCATTATATCTTTGGACATTGGGTGGTTTGATAACCATCAGAACTACTGCCATTACATCTTAGGACATTAGGTGATTTGATCACCACCAGAACTACTGTCATTACATCTTAGAACATTGGGTGATTTGCTCACCATCAGAACTACTGTCATTACATCTTAGGACTTTGGGTGATTTGCTCACCATCAGAACTACTGTCATTACATCTTAGGACATTGGGTGATTTGCTCACCATCAGAACTACTGCCATTGCATCTTATGACATTGGGGGATTTTCTCACCATCAGAACTACTGCCATTGACATCAAGGTCAATTATAAAAAAGTCAACCCTAGTGCACATTCACATCCAAAACTTTTTGGCTGGTAGGCAGGCATCTAGTCACTGTGCTGTTGTATTACTATATCTTAAGTATTTAGTAAACCTTTGAAGAACACCATAATTAAGTTGTGTAAAGGTAATGATGACAGGATTAGCTGGAACCACCTGTATGTGTCAAAAGAGAACACAAAGGAAAGTGAAATAATTTTGGTAATAAATGCTACCCTCTTGAATTATAGTGATGCTGTTTCTGTAGAACTTATGCTAACTTAATTTATTTTCCTCTTACTATTCATTTATATTAATTGAGTATTAATTCAATAAATTTTTCTGAAGATTTGGATGTACAGAATAAATGGTTGAGCTCATGGAAACATCAGATAGGATGCTTTGAAGAGAGTTGGAATGAGATGAGCGATATTTATTGTAGCAGATAAAATAATAGCTGAAATATTTCAGCTACTTTAAAAGATAAAACACTTTTATAAATACTATACTAGAGAGAGAAGCTAAAGGTCAGCAAACAAGAGGTAACAGTGATACAAGTGGGAGAATTACATCAAGAGATGGAAATAGAGCAGTTTTAAACTCTAAATGAAGGATAAGTGACTCCCTGAGAATGAAAGTACATGAGGTGGGAGAGCTGGTGAGAGACCGAGTTTCTTTCAGGCAGACTGTGATGAGAGCGACGTTCTGCAAAGGACCTGCTACATGATGATGTTGAAAGATAAGAAACAGAGAATGCTGGAGATCCATTGCAGCCAAACTCACTGTAGAGATGGCACAGTGGCACCTTACTGATTGACTGTATTAATTAAAATAGTATGGCACAGTGGCACCTTACTGATTAATTGACTGTATTAATTAAAATAGTATGCACATTGGCACCTTACTGATTGACTGTATTAATTAAAATAGTATGCACAGTGGCACCTTACTGATTGACTGTATTAATTAAAATAGTATGCATAGTGGCACCTTACTGATTGACTGTATTAATTAAAATAGTATGGCACAATGGCAGCTTACTGATTGACTGTATTAATTAAAATAGTATGCACAGTGGCACCTTACTGATTGACTGTATTAATTAAAATAGTATGGCACAGTGGCACCTTACTGATTGACTGTATTAATTAAAATGTATGGCACATTAGCACCTTACTGATTAATTGACTGTATTAATTAAAATAGTATGGCACATTGGCACCTTACTGATTAATTGACTGTATTAATTAAAATAGTATGGCACATTGGCACCTTGCTGATTAATTGACTGTATTAATTAAAATAGTATGGCACATTGGCACCTTACTGATTAATTGACTGTATTAATTAAAATAGTATGGCACAGTTGCACCTTACTGATTGACTGTATTAATTAAAATAGTATGCACAGTGGCACCTTACTGATTGACTGTATTAATTAAAATAGTATGGCACATTGGCACCTTGCTGATTAATTGACTGTATTATTAAAATAGTTTTTTTTTTTTTAACATCATGATATTGTTTATTTGTCTCATTCATACATGTACAGTTTCTTTGATTGCACACTCATTCATTATTTCAGCCACCGTTCAATGTTCTGACATTCAAAACACTGCAGTTTGGGAACACACCCCTTTCTTTTATCATTGAGCGTAGAGCTGATGGGACCAGTGTTGACGTGAAGGTAGCAAGTGGGGCAGCAGCAACTCTCAATGCTGACTTACAACAGCAGTACTTTGTGAGCATCTATCTTATTATTTGTTCTCTTCTTATCTATAGTGATAAAACTAGTTTTTGTTCTGTTTTTATATGTTAACCAAGATTTATATTATGTATTGATTAATTATCCCAGCTGCGGACGATTTGTTGGTTTTGACAGTTTACTGAGAGTTAACTGTTCAGAAAGCAGTGGCAAACTACTAAACATAAAATTTGCCTAGAAAAATCACAACAGTCAAAAAATGCTGGGTTTGGTTCTGCATTGTCCTGTAAAGGAAATGCAACTAACTTAACTGGTTTTTTATGATACAGAAAAGACATTTTTACTGCTATCTTTCAGGTTTAACATGATAAAGGGAACAGTACCATTTGATTATTTTAGATTGAGCTGACCTAATTGACAGCATTGTTGCATTTGTTTGTTCAATCGTGAGTGAACTCATAGAATTGGGTTATGAGCATGGCTTGGTTTCATCCTTTTGTGGACATCACACTGTTAGCTTGTTCATGAGCTTCACATGTGAGTAGTTTCATACATGGGTGCTGATCATCCCTTATCATCATTCAGAATCACTGTGTTTGTAGGTGTTAGTTCTCCATGCTTTATTCATTACAGCAGATATTATGGTTAAAAAGTGACTAAGAAAATTGCAGCACGCTATGAAAGTGTTATATTCTTGTTTGGTTTTGTATGCTTAGGTTAGATTGTCAGATGGGCTGCCTCTGTGAAATCGCATGTCAGTTGCAAGTCCTTCATGGTTCCTCATAGCTTGCTGTGCACTTCTCTCTCTCTCTCTCTCTCTCTCTCTCTCTCTCTCTCTCTCTCTCTCTCTCTCTCTCTCTCTCTCTCTCTCTCTCTCTCTCTTTCTCTCTCTCTCTCTTCCACCCCTCCCTCCCACCCTTCCTTCCTTCCTCTCTCTCTCTTTATGCATGTGTGTGTGAGAGTGTGTGTGGGCTGGGATGGGATAGGAGGTTTGGGGGGTGGGGGTGGTGGCTGGGTGGGCGTGTGCATGTGTGTTTTGTGTAGGGCTAAAAAGTCAAACATCTAGTCTTTATGCTCCTGTTTTAGGTCTACTTCTAGTAGGTTCTACAGGAAGGTAAAGATGTCTTGCCAGTTAAAAACTGCCCTGTGTACTTCTTTATCCCATATTTAATAACAGGCATTTCATGTTAAATGACAAACCAGTAGCTTTTCTAGTAAGTTCTTGTACACAGTAATCAGTTGGCTTCTTGATTAATGTTACAGTTCTATGCGTATGTTGAAGACAATGGATCACCACCAATGTCCGACATTGCCCTTGTGACAGTCAATGCCAATCGCAACAATAGACCATCGTAAGTACTATAAACTGTTTTCTTCTCCTTCTTCTCTGCTTCTTCTTCTTCTGTTTTAACTTCTTCATTTTATTTTTTTGCTGCTGCCACTCACCTTTCTCCTCCCCTTCTTTTTCTTCTTTTACTATCACTTTTTCGTTCATTGTGTCATCTGATGTGGTAATGAATTTCATGTTGTTTATATTATTATTTGTCCAAGCTGTTGAAACGCTCTACACAAATATTTTTGGGTTTTTCTGTTCTTTTGCTTAATACTTTAAAAAAAATGTTAATATACGTTTTTGCATCTGTTCATTTAATGTATCTCATAAACTTCATCTTTTCTTTGTAGTTTTGATAAGTGATCTAGTAATACCTCAGCTATCAAAAATCCAGTGTTTTCTTCTTTGGCAACAGTATTCTCGACATTCCCATCTAACTACATGTGTACTGCCTTTAGTTCCTAAAATGGTAAATATAAGAAATAAAATCTTTGAATATAGCAGTTATTCTCCTAATTTCCAGTACCACACATGTCTAATTTGTTTTGAGTATTTTGTTCACTTATAAAACTAAGACTGTCTTATCCGAAAATTGTGAAGCTATCCTCAACATCAAAAAGCCACTTTGCTATCCACTTTCTAGTGGATGCACCAAGTAGCAGGACAATCTCCTCCCAACCCTTGACCTAGTATCTAAGCAGATGACTTGCTAATTTTATCAGTGTTTAGCATCTCATTTCTCCTGAGCCACTCATCTATAATTTCAAATGTTCTTTCACCCTAGATACCCTCAAACCAATGTAGCAGTGACCATCCCAGCGAGTACAGATCCAGGCACTTTGGTTGCTCAGTGTAATGCCACAGACAGTGACTCTCCAAACACACCCAACGGCCAAGTGACACAGTTTGATGTTACCACAGACTCAAACACCAGGTAACATATTTTGTACTAAAAGTCTGAAAGTGATCCTTCTCATGGATAGTGGTGTAGTTTTAAAATGGCAAGGACCTTATATCTTTTGGTTTACAGTCATGAAAGGACACATTTTCTTGTCAACTAACCTGAAAGTGAAGTAAAGGTCCCTTTTCATACCAGCGGCTTATGATGTAAAGTAATGAACCCTTTTCCACACCTTCAGATGTATTGGGCATATAGGGCTAGACCTATAATTTAACTCTTTAAGTCCCAGGGGGTTTAGCATCACAGGCCCAGGGGTAGTAAAGAAAGTAATAAAATTGGCGCATCATGCGTTCATTGGGCTTTTAGGTAGGAACCTATAAACCTATGTTGCGTTCCTTGGGACTCAAAGAGTTAAAGATCATTCACCACTCTGTGGGTGATGAGGTCAGTATCATACTGGCTGCATTTGCTTCAACAGGACTGTACCTGGTACCCACACAAGACTGGGTCGACCTGAGAGTCAAGGTCATTTAAAAAAAAAAAAAAAAAAAGTCCGGCTCCATCAGGACCCAAACCCTTGCCCATCCGATCTGCAAGGGAAGGCTAACTGTTAACACATGGCGGCTCCTGGGCGTATAATGCTAGATTCATATTTTGTAAACCACTCAACACTTGATGTAGTCACTTGATGCTTGCCACCAGGATTTGTTACCTAGTGCCCATTTTGTAAGGTTGGGTCAATCTGGGAGCCAAGGACATTAACATGAAAGACAAAGCATTTAATTAATTTTTGGTCTCTGCCAGATACTCTGTCCAAATATTGTTAGCAGTAATATTTTTTATAATCATTTGGTGTTTGATGGTTGATGTGGCCATTGTCAAAAATTGATTGATCTATTGACTGTACAGTGACCACATAATGGCTTTATTGGTATTCATCATATGTCAAATATCTTGGTAAATGATAGAGTGGTATAAACAAACACTAATGGAATCTGAAAATATGATTCTACGCTTCATACACCAACATACACACAAAAAACAGTATTCCAGTACACATATTGTTGACTTAAACCCAGTTCTCAAAATATAGTTTTGTGTATGCTTATACATATTTTTCTTCTCTTTGCCAGAAACATATTCCGTGTATTAGAAAATGGTGGTGTTGTTCTTCAGCGTGAACTAATCCAGGACAAATCAACATCAATTTACACAGTTCTCATCAAAGCTAGAGACAATAGTGCTTTTCCCTTGGAAGCTGCTGGCACCTGTACTGTCGCAATCACTGTTTATAGTAATCAGGCTCCACCCCAATTTATCGACACACCATATGACAGAGTTATTGAACGTACAGCTCCAGCTGGCCTGGTTATTGTCGACACAAACACCACAGATGCTGACACCTCTGTAAGTCATTCTTGTTGCTGCTTTTTATTTCCTTGTTTCAGAATGCAGTTATAAACATATATTCCTATTTAGGTCACCTTTATTATGATACATTCTCATCTTCATGTATTTTTTTGGTTTGTCAGGTAACCAAACTATCCATTGGTATTCTGGTGTTCAAGTAACCTACTGAATCCTGATTAAGAATCAACATCACAGCACACTGGGCATATTCATAAAGGCTCTGTCTTCCACAGCAAATGTCTTACAGAGTAGATCAGGGCTCTTCAACTGGAGGCCTGCAGGTTACATTTTGGCCCATGGATGCCTAGCAAGTGGCCCATGGATGCCTAGCAAGTGGTCCATGGATGCCTAGCAAGTGGCCCATGGATGCCTAGCAAGTGGCCCATGGATGCCTAGCAAGTGGCCCATGGATGCCTAGCAAGTGGCCCATGGATGCCTAGCAAGTGGCCCATGGATGCCTAGCAAGTGGCCCATGGATGCCTAGAAAGTGGCCCATGGATGCCTAGCAAGTGGCCCATGGATGCCTAGCAAGTGGCCCATGGATGCCTAGCAAGTGGCCCATGGATGCCTATCAAGTGGCCCATGGATGCCTAGCAAGTGGCCCATGGATGCCTAGAAAGTGGCCCATGGATGCCTAGCAAGTGGCCCATGAATCATTTCCAGTTGTATTATATTAATGTTTCCTCTATGCTAGGTCTTTGGCCCATGACAGTCCCCATTTTACAGATTTTGGCTCCATAGTAAACTTAGTTGAAAAGCCCTGGTGTAGATGCTAACTATTCTGGTAGCACACTAATAATGCATTCGTGGTATCTTTCTCTCATACTTTCATCCTTACTGGATCCATTCTAACATGTTATTTCATCTAACCTTGTGTATTCTATCAGCATTTGTTCATAAATGATCTTCAGAATGTCTCCTCTGTCGTGTACGAACATTCCCTTAGCTATTGCTTTTGTAACCAGAAAATCTGCTCTTTCATTCCCTTGCACTTTTCATGCTCCAGACAGTATATCCACAAAATTCCCTGTAATACTGATCTGCTGATGCTTTGTATCCACTCATGCCACATTTGCCAGTTTTGAACCTTCTGCACTACTGACTGAAAATCAGATGCCATAATTCCTCTGGTAACTTTATTTTCTGCTATTCATTTAAGAGCTGCTGTGATGCCTCCACTTTCATCCTCAAGCTTGAAGTAGTTTAAAAAAAAAAAAGCACCATTTCCCCTTTGGCTTTATTTCCATCCCATCCTTGTCTCACTTTATTCATCTCAGCCATTACAATTCTTTGTCAATCTATTCTAGGCCAGCTTCATTTTATTCATTGTGATTTACAAATATACAACATAATTTAAGAAGTAATAAATACTTGAAGACTCTTGTTCAGTCTTTAGGAAATATAGGTATATAGTGCTAGACCCTTACTTCCAGATACCAATTGGCGTGTTATATATAATGTCATGTAGGCTGTCGTTACTTTTCAGAACTCCTCATGGGGTTTCAAGGGCCCCATTGTTGGAAGATTAAAAAAAAAAAAGCCCCACTGCCCTCAAATATGTATGTCGCAAGAGTCAACTAATTATAGAGGTTGCCTTCTAAGGTAGAGTTTATATGCCTGAAGGGTGAGGAACCAACCGTCAGCATATGAATAAGCCAGATATGCAAAATGGATATGCATGCAAAACTCAGGCTCTGGAAGACTAAATTCCAGAAGTGTACAAATAACCAGAGCTCTCTGCCAGAGTTCAAGGCTATTGAATGCAAAGAAGAAGACTTCCAATCATATTGTCTGTCTATTTTAGACGGTAACCAGGAAGCCCAAGTCACTGTTTTAAAAATTCCTGTCCTGTCCGAGGGGGATTAAAATATGTGATGCTGGCTGACAGGTAAAAACATACTAGTCACAGGGCTACCATTGCTGTCACTGTGTCATGGTTTCGCCGGGTGACAGGTGAACATACAGCGCTACCATTGCTGTCACTGTATCATCGTTTCACCGGGTAACAGTCACATATATTTTAACTCTTTCAGTGTCAGACAGTTATTACTTTAACACTTTCTATTTCAGAATTTGTGTACTTAAGAGCAACAATAATTTAATCTCAATGAATGAAAATAGTAGAAATACAAAACTGAATGACTCTAAAGTAGTGACTGTGATAGCATGGATCAACACAAGGAAGAGACACAAGAGGTTAGGAAATGTATATTGTGTATAAAGTATCCAGTCAATTTAGGATGACTTGTTTGGTACTGAAAGAATTAATTAGTTTTGATACTGTTTATTTTAGACAGGAAGTTGCCATGACACAATGATAATTCTGTCAAGCTTTGAATGTACAGGTATTCTAGGAACTGTTTAGTATGTTTATAATAGTTTGTGATAAGCATTATATCAACATACTGTACCTGTGTTCAAGGAGTTTTGAATCTTGAATATTTCAGGCTCCATTCAATGTAGTTACTTACGCTATTATAAGACAGCCAGAACCACCCATCTTTGCCATCAACTCAACAACTGGTGCCTTTTCCTTGACATCTAATGTGGCAAGCCAGAGCTCTTCATCTTACACTGTAAGTTTAGATAGTTGTGCAAAAAACATTTGCTCTTTCTTAGTTTAAGATGTCAAAACATAAGCTCTTTCTTAATTGAAGATGTCATAACATTAGCTCTTTCTTAGTTTAAGATAACAAAACATTAGCTCTTTCTTAGTTTAAGATAACAAAACATTAGCTCTTTCTTAGTTTAAGATGTCAAAACATTAGCTCTTTCTTAGTTTAAGATGTCAAAACATTAGCTCTTTCTTAGTTTAAGATGTCAAAACATAAGCTCTTTCTTAGTTTAAGTTATCAAAACATTAGCTCTGTCTAAATTTAAGATGTTAAAACAATAGATCTTTCTTAGTTTAAGATGTCAAAACATTAGCTCTTTCTTAGTTTAAGATAACAAAACATTAGCTCTTTCTTAGTTTAAGATGTCAAAACATTAGCTCTTTCTTAATTTAAGATGTCATAACATAAGCTCTTTCTTAGTTTAAGTTGTCAAAACATTAGCTTTTTCTTAGTTTAAGTTGTCAAAACATTAGCTCTGTCTAAATTTAAGATGTTAAAACAATAGATCTTTCTTAATTTGATGTCAAAACATTAGCTTTTTCCTAATTTAAGATGCCAAAACATTAGCTCTTTCTTAATTTAGGATGTCAAAACTTTTCTCTTTCTTAGTTAAATATGTCAGAACATTAGCTTTTTCTCAATTTAAGATGCCAAAACATTAACTTTCTCAGTTTAAGATGTCAAAACATTAGCTCTTTCTTAATTTAGGATGTCAAAACTTAGCTCTTTCTTAGTTAAATGTGTCAAAACATTAGCTTTTTCTTAATTTAAGATGCCAAAACATTAACTTTTTCTCAGTTTAAGATGTCAACCATCTAGTAATTATGATTTTTTCCTGCTTACGATAGAATATAATCACAATTATCAAATAAACAAGTTCTGTAGCTAATATGTCTATTTAAAAAAAAAAAAAAAATTAATATTTACATTGTTGTTAAGCATTGTTTTTTTTTAAAATCAGGATGTTGCTACTTCATAAAGGAAACTTTAGGATTACCAGTGACAAATCTAGAAATGATCCAGAGATTACTGCCAGTATGGCCTGTTAATTGAGTGGGAGCAGATGCTTTGAGTATATAGAGCCAAAAGGGTTCTTACCAACTATTGTTACAATAGGATCTAATGGGTTACTTCTTTAGAAAGAGCTTAAATGTTGTTCAGTTGCACATTATGTACATTTTATGATTTATAGCACATGATGTTGCATTGGCATTGTTGAAGTAATTGTCTTTATTTTAGTTTTCAAATAAATTACCAGAGAATAATTTCCACATATATATGCATTTGCAGTCAGTGATATTGCTTTAACCCATTTGCCCTGGCAACCCTTGGAAGAAAGAAATTGGTTCCCACCAACAAAATCTTCTTTGAAACAACAGATATCATAGCCAGGGCATTGTAAGTGCTGCACAGGCACAAACAGAACCATTACCATTCATTAGACTACTAATGGACAAATCACTACAGTAAATTGACATTTACAGGGATTTGTAATGGTGATGCTGGTTTAGGAGCATTCCAGAGTTAAAGGGTAAAAAACAATTACAGTTAAACATAGACCCTACTAAACAATAAGAAGATAATGCAAAAAGGAAATGTCAGATATTGTTTAATAAATTGTTTATTAGTTTAGTCTTAATATATATATATTTTTTTGTCAATATGTTTTTGTAACATCTACAGATTGTCATCAGTGCCACTGATGGAGGGGGCCTGACAACATACAATTTATTTACAATCACTGTGAACCAGAACTTGAATGCACCTGTTATTACTAACCCTGGCGCTAACACCAACTATACAGTCACAGTAGAAATTCTGGAAACTCATTCATTCAGTCAGATAGTTTACCAGGTCCAGGCTGTTGATCAAGATCAGGTGAGTTTCTTGAACAATGGCATCAGCTTCTTACATTCATATCTGCTAGGTTTTTTCTTTTTTTTTGAGGCAGGAAACTGATTGTAATATAGCCTTGTGTTAACATTCAGTCATATAGCAAATGAGGTTTTAATGTAAATCCATATGGACATGAAGATCTGTGCCCGCTTTTGTTATTTTTAATGAATTTTAGTGATCTTATTTAAAGATTATGTTGACTTTTTTCTTTCTGAACCTTGCATATTTGATCAGAGCTTCCATACAGACCTACTGTTTTGTTAGTGCTTTCCAGTGCACACACCATTAGGATAATTGCCACAGAGGCAGTAATGGTTGTAAGACCTATTGATGTTATTCTTGCTTGGGATATTCTTGTTTACTAACTGGCAAAAAAATAAAATGGAAATATCTAGAGAATTTCAGGTGGCAGTTGTAAGGGGATGAATGATATGATGCAATAGTGTCTACCTCCAGCCCAGTTAAAGCATCAGCATTGTGGTCTTCATTGAACACTGCAGTTGTCAGTGATGAGATCCTAGATACTACATTAGGTGGCAGTTCGACCCAGTCGAAGAGAGGACTCACTCCAATGTCTGGAACTTATCTTCAACAGTATTGTGTATTTGAAGGACTATGTTGTGAAGGTAGTATTAAAGATCTAGAAGGGATTTAATTTTGTGAAGGTGATAGAAGTGGCAGATGTTGAACAGATATTTGTTGCACATACTTTTTATTCATTTATTTATTATCTTGTTGTGCCATTATATGTGGCATAGGGCTCTCTGTCTATTTTTCCATTCTGTTGTATCCTATGTGATCATTTCAATATCATTGATGGAATTCCAGTCCAGCAGCTTTGGCCTCTCTTGACATGGTATATGCCAGTCTTGTATTTGAGGGATATACTTTCCTTGCTCTCCATTTATATGTAAGGTACGAGATGCTATAGAAGAGAAGTAGTTGAGCCCCTCGACGGGTCTTGAAAACTCCTAATCACTGCATTACAGAATAACACTGCTCTCTTTAAATGTATTTATATTAAATTTTTACATATCATTTGCAAAGTTGAAAATTTTTAGGGAAGGAGCCACGCAGAGGAAGACAATGGAGGAAGATTGTTCACAGCCTTTTGTCATGACACAGAAGCGTGTTAGGACATGCTGTAGAAGATCACAGAATGTAGAACAGCATGATCGCTATGCCATAAGGCAATGATAAATATCTGCCTGAATATATCTGCATGGAATTATTGCTCAATGAAAACGTGGCTTAAATTTTTTGTAATAATAACTTCTTCTTCTTCTTCCATCTGTCTAAAATAAGTTGTCTGAATATGCAGTCTTTTTTCTGTCTGTCTTATACATGTCACTGTTCTTTCTAATCTATTCAGGTGGTCCGTTCTGTTTACTTGACACATTTTTTTTCCCTTCTCCAAGCAGTTTACTTGTGTCATTTTTTGGGATAGTCTTGAAGTATCTGAAAAATCTGGTGCTATCTCCTGGGGTTGATATCTGGTCTACCACAAGTCCTGTGTTTACTAAAAATCTTATTTAACAATAATCATTATCAATAAACAATAAATCATTAGTCCTGGAGTTAAACTAGCTTAATGACCAGCCTACTTACCTGCTGACTCTGTGGTCATAAGCTTGGATCTGCCACAAGGCTGATATTGAAAATTAATGTGCTAGCCTAAAAATGGCACCAGAATCTCCTGATACGAAACAAATGGCTGGTATGATGTTGATGTCATGTTGATATTGGTCTGTCACAGCATTTGGCATTGTATGCCCAGTGCATCTCAAGGCATGAAAGGGGTCTTTTACTATACTATTTTAAAAGAACAGTTTTAGCAAATGCCATAATTATCATCTTTCCAACAACTGTTTTAAGAATTATGAGTGTTATTCCCTGAAAATGTGACCATTTTATCATTATACACAAATTGTTATCCTGTTTCAAATAGGAAAAAACTATTCTTGATTTGCATCTGAACTCTTCTCACTGCAGGGTCTTGCAGGAAAATTGATTTACACATTGACAGGAACACCATTAGGCCAACAGTACTTCCAGATGAATTCTGACACTGGAGCCATCACACTGAGGTCATCCCTGCTCTCTGATGCATCTCTTCAGTACATTGTAAGTGGGACAGTATTTCTGAAGCTACTGAATCAGAACAAACCAGTCTGTATTTTATGTTGTATTCTTACATCTTGTAATATTGCTTGTGATTTACATAACATAACATAACCCTTGACCCATAAGGGTCGTGGAGGTGTATTGATGAAAGCACTAGCACATAAAACCCTCACTCTTTCTCTGTCTTCCGCTTGATGACTAAGTGTTTGATAACTTAGTTCTGTCCATTTCTTGATGTTGTCATTCCAGGTTCTTTTTTGCCCTCTTTTTCGACTACCCTCCAATGTTCCTTGAAGTACAGTCTTTGCAATTGAATCATGTCTCACTATGTGCCCAAACCAAGCTAGCTTGCAACTTTTCACTACTGCCAAGAGAGGCTCCTGATATCCCGCAAATTTTTATATTTTGTCTCTGACATATTTATTAGTTTTGTATTCTAAATAACTAATTCGTAAAATGCTTCTGTAGTATTTACATTCAAAAGTCTAAATCTTTTTTCCATTTTCACAACTCTAACATCTGTAAAAGAAAATAGACAATACCAGTGATGTGTAAATATTGACCTTGACTGCGATACTGATTGTGCTCTTCCACATCGTATTCAGCTGTGACATCGTGGCTGTTGTCATATCCAGTCTTGTCTTGATCTCTTTGGTACAGCTGCCATCGTTGTGACATCGTGGCTGTTGCCATATCAAGTCTTGTCTTGATCTCTTTGGTACAGCTGCCATCGTTGCATATGCAGGGGCCAAGATGTTTAAAAGTTTCAACTTCTTCTAGTTTTTTCCCTTTTATCTGAATGTTGGAGGGTACTTGATTATTGTGACTGTTTACCAGAATCTTGCTTTTCTCTGCACTAATTTTAATGCCATATTTTCAACATACTGTCTCTAATTTTGTAGTAAGTTCTTGGAGTTCTGTGTGATTGACTTATCAACATTTAGAAACACATTAAAGCTGATAGGGTAAAAATAGGTCAGATTTTTTGTTACAAAATTAACCCAAATAGATTATGGAATTATATATTATGTAGGTATTGAACCTATCTCTGTAACCAAATAGGGTGAACCTGCTATCTGATGATGCTGTTTGAACAATCAGTATTACATAAGAAAACTACGTATACATTAAAAAAAAAAGTCTTATGGGACACTAATGGCCAAAACCTAGCTGAGGTTGTTAATGTGTTTCAAACAAATCAGTACACCATACATCATTGACTATTCTTTAGTTGCCCTAATCAGTGTCCCATGTATGATTTTCCTTCATGGATTGACTGTTGATGTGATTTATCAAGTGTTGTTCATTTTAAAGTTGCATTGTCTGGGTATGAAGTTCTAAGCTACATTCACTTATTTCTTATTCCCAGTATTACTTAATATTTTCCCTATCTTCTTCTTTTGTTGTCTCACTGATACCAGGTTGTAACCCAGTGTCAGGGTTTTCCTGTAGTTGTCTGGTGCTTCTCAGGTGGCTTGCGTTATGGTTTTTATTTATCTTTTTGCAGGTTTCAGCAACACAATTTATCCCTCTATTTCATCTTTTCCTGGCTTTCTTCCCAAACGTTCTGCTGTAAATATTTGTATGTGCAGATTAGTCTCACTGCACTATTTCATTCTTTGTCTGTCAGTATACTTCAGACAGTCTTATTCCAACTTTTACTCTAATGCTGGTATCTGTGACCCTGTCCCATCTTGTGTTGTTGCTGACCTTACAAAGACAATGCTTTTTGCATGTAGTTACTTTATTTTCTAGTGCCCTATTCATTTCCACAGATCCAATTTTGTATTTAAAAGATATGTAATAAGCTGTTCACTGTATTTTGTCAAAAGCACATTACATGTGTGTTTTGAACTGGTTATTGTATGTGTTTGTGTGTATGTGTTAATAAATAAGTAGTTAAACATATAGAAATAATGCTGAGAAAATGGCCAATACAGACACAATAAGTTTAGGAATTACACATTTTAAAATCATGTCTATTGTTCAGTGTTAATACTTTATTATTATCACAAGTAATTCAAACCATGAAATAAAATATATAATTGCTGATATTTTAATTAAACTAAATAAACTGATAAGTGTTCAAAGACAAGGAGACTGTTCTACAAGTTACCAAATCTAGGTGGATATAACTTTATAATGAATAATTATTCTTAATAATTATTCACTGTACTTTAATAATTATAGTTAGTTAGTTAGTTAGTTAGTTATTCCTCTTGTGCCAAAGATGGCGCATAGGGCAGAGGTCATAGCTTTCCACGTCTGTCGGTTCGTTGCCACTTGATGTAGGTCTTGAGTGCGACTGAGACCTATGGTTGAGCTCTCCCTTGTGATGGTTCTACGGAGAGTTTCTTTTGGTCTTCCCTGTTTTCTTTTACCCTCTGGTGACCATATGAAGGCTTGGTGGGGAAGTCTCTGTATGTCCATTCTGAGTACGTGACCGATGTAATTCCAGCGACGCATTCTAATAAAATCAGACACATATTTTTGTTTTGTTTCCTGTCTTATAGATGTATTGGACCTAAAGTCCGACCAGTGAACATTCAATAGCTTTCGGAGGCATCTATTCTCGAAAGCAACTAGTTTCTTATCGATTGATACTGATGATTTATATTAAGCCATATTATGTGAAAAGCAGATAAAAAACAACAACAAAGGATAGCTGTTGACATTACACTTATTTAATATAAGAGAATCAGGAGCATCCCAAAGTTGAGTAGCTGTGATTGATATTGACATGCTTGTAATGTTTCTCATTTAATGCAGCTAACTGTGACAGTCCAGGACAGTGATCTAAACCCCAAGCAGGCAGTTAACACAGGCACAGTTATCGTTACTGTCTACAGAAACACTTATACACCAGCGTTTATCAATGAAAACAGCTATCCTAAACCAGTCAACCAGGACTTGGCTGTTGGGCAGCCTGTCACTCAAGTGGCAGCATATGATTCAGACAGGGTTGTAAGTATTTGAAACAAATTTATTGTTTTTCACTCTGGGTTCTTTTCTTTTTTTTTTTATTTGACTTCACTGATTTTCTTACTTTAATCTGGTCCTTTGCATGTCTATTGACAATAGTTCCTTCTCAAAACTATTTTTTATTTTAGTGTCACAACTTTAAGTTGAATTGGTGCCAGTCTTGTTTATGATCCTTCAGGATTTTTGGCACATGCACAGGAATGGCAGAAGTTTATAGTTTGTATCTTCTTCTTCTGCTTTTCTAACCCCCCATAGAGCATATACCCTCAGCAGCTAACTCCCACAAGTTGTTCTGTCTTTTGCCACCACACTCATCTCTTCCTAGCCCTCCCCCCCTCCCCCATCCCTCCAACTTCATTCAGCAGCTCCCCACTCCACTTGACCTTGTTCCTCCACTTATATGCCTAGATGGGGCCTAGCTCGTTGAGTCCTAGGGGGTTTAGCATCACAGGCTCAGGGATTAGTAAAGAAAGTAATAAAATCGGCGCATCATGCGTTCATTGGGCTTCTAGGTAGGAACCTATGAACGTATGATGCGCTCTTTGGGACTCAAAGAATAATGGAAAGACACTCCAGCTACATTGTTCCCAGGCCCTCTCTACACATGTTTCATCCAACACCAGTGTTCCTCCCACACTCCCTGTTTCACCAGAACCCATCCAGCTCTTTCCCAAAGCTCCACACCAGCAACTCCATCATACCTTTTCATTTCCTCCATTCTGCGCAGGCACCAGCTATCCTTTTTATAATAGCCATATAATGTGCTGACATAATGGTGCTGATACTGTTATTGGCATACATGTCTGATGGATGTATCAACAACTGTCATTTTATACATATAAATCAACATCATCATCTTCATCATCCTGCTGTGCTGTTTATACACCACGAGGATATGCAATCCGTTCCATTCTGTCTGTTACCATCTTTTACAGTTTAAAAAAATATTTAATCTAGTCTGACACATTGGCCTTTCATCAACATTTATGACAATTTCCCTTGGATTATGTTATTGCTTGCTTAGTCCAAGGGATTCCCATTTTTCTGCCTCTTTTGTGATTCTGAGTCTGCTTTGCCTCAGGTTATGTTCAATATATTGCTTTTTTGTTTGTCTTGTAACTTTTAATACAAGCGGTTGTCTAGACATTTTTCTTAATTCTTTGCCATTTTTGAATTAATCCCATTTAGAGTTCATCATGTTTTTTTTTTCAGATGTTTGTTTTTGAATGCAGTCTTCTTTCATTTGATGTCTTTAGCGGTTCTTTACGAGTTTATTTTATCACCCCAATGCAGTTTACATAAATTTGTACAAAAATGATACATTACCTTTAAAATGTAAGTTTTGAATATTTCAGGGCACATATGAAAAAGTCACTTTTGATATTGTTGGAGATGGCCAGGCAGCTGGCTTATTTCGCATTGATGCCAACACTGGTGTTATCACTCTGCAAAGTTCATTGAGTGGTGTTTCTACAAATGTAATCTATGTAAGTGGATTCAAACAATCATCTACAAGTACACATTGTATATTCACTACATTTTTGTTTGCATATATGATTGTCCAGCTGAGCTGTATTGAAGCAGATGTTGTTATTTAATCTTACTATTACTATTCAGTGTTTTGACATAGGCTTGCTAGTTCTATCTATTTAGATGAAAGCTAATGGAGTTTAACCATAGACAAAGTGAGGAAGGGGAAAGGAAGGGGGTGGGGGGGGGGGGGGGGGGGGGAGAGAAACCTAGTGGACATAATTGTTGTAATAATCTCTTGTATAATCAAACCCGATAACCATTTATCTATAGTTAACATGAGAGATCATCATGTGCCACAGACAATACCTGATTGCAATCATACTTCTTATAGTCCATGTTTTGTGGCGTTGGTAGTCATGTCCATCCACAACCTTATGTCTCAAGTTTTTTCAACCAGTTCTGATGATCTTCATTATGGTTCTGAATGCAAAATAAATGACAGAACAAGTTAAAACAAGATAATGATAGAGAGAGAGAGAGAGAGAGAGAGAGAGAGAGAGAGAGAGAGAGAGAGAGAGAGAGAGAGAGAGAGAGAGAGAGAGGGAGGGAGGGAGAAGATAGTGGACATTTTAGCATGAGAACATGGGAAGGAATATGTGAGCTGATGAAATTATACTTAGTGCTAGAGCATTAGAGCTCAGGAAAGGCAAGGCCATGCCATGTGACAAGGAACTAGATGTTAACAGTTTGATAGATTTGGATTTCAGTATACAGATAAGAAAAGAGTTGTGGATTTTATATGGATATCTAAAATATCTAAACAGTAAACAGTCTTATACCATTACTTTTATACTCTGGATTTGCCTTGCGTTTAGAGAGGAAAATGCAGCAATGTAAAGATCTTATTATTCTTTCTACTAGTGTTTTTAGTATTGACATCCTTAACTGTTTCAGTCAGTAGCAGACAATTTTGTTACTATAGTGTTGGCACCCACAAAGAAAGAGCGTAGGTCTGTAACTTCAAAAAGCAGCATTGATAGTATCTAGCCAGGTTCCTGTAGGATGCTGAGTCAAAAATTCAAACTGTACAGTGACACACCATGTATCTATGGAGACATTAGGGTTATAGCTCAACACACGTAGTTTCCTGCTTGGGACAGAAAGAGTTATGATGCTAATTGTACATTTAATCTTGTGTTCCCATTGTCAGTGGCTAATAATACAGAAAAGAAATGTTTCTATAGTTTAGTTTTGTTCATTAAACACTTTATATCTGTCTTTAAAATGTCATTGTTTTTTTTTTTTCTCAGTTGAGTGTGAGGGCCAGCGATAATGGAACACCACCAAAGACCAACATAACTAGATTTCCAATCTCCTTGAATCTGAACTCGCGTATGCCTGTATGGGCTGACCCTACCAATCCATCCTTCAATCCATCGAGCCCAGCCTATGTGTTCACCATCAATGAAGACCAGATACTGTATCAGCCATTTGGGCGCCTGTCATCAACAGATGCAGATACCAGTGTATGCTTTCACAATTTTTATTTAAATTTCTTTTTATCATCTCCTTGTGTTCACTATTAAATGCTGTCTAATTAATCCACTGAACTGTTCCTAAGAAGCTTAATGAAGGCAAAAGGGCAAAAAAACCACACACAGAAACATTCAGACATTTCAGTTGAAGCCTTCATTGACAAACACAAAGAGGGAGAATCCTGGACACTAGTCCCCTCACAGGACATGTATTTTCTAAGCTAATTGTTTGTACATTCTGCTGTTTCTTTATCTCTATATCTGTTTCTGATACCATACAGCTATATTAAAGCTAAAAACTAGTGCCACATTAGCTTTTGATGCTAGACCAGTGGCTCCCAATGCGGGGCCTACGCCCTACCGAGGTAAGTTAATTGTTAAGGAAAGGGGTGGGGAGCAGTTCAAAAATGGCATGTCCAGTGTTTAAGTTAATTGGGGCATATGAATTTTTAGAAAGGCTTAGATGGGGAAATGTACAAAAAATGTTGGGAAACACTGTGCTGGACTCATATTTTTGTAGACTTATCAGCCGTTGATAGATAATCTGGTCTGTATCCCACTGGCCAGCTTTACTTCCCAGGACATTACCTAGTACCTGGTCAACAACTGAGCCAAGGTCAATTTAGGGAGAAGGCAAAATCTACCTTAATATGGATTCAAACCCAAGACCTTTGGGCAGACAGTTAAGTGTCTAGCCACTAGGTTACCACAGCTTTCTATTTATGTTAAGTTTATTTGAATTATTATTGTTTATGCGTACATCAGAGTCCAAAGTCCTCATAACATAAGAAAGTTTACTAACCTGCCATCATATCTGTCAGTTGTTAATACAAAGTTAAGAAACAAACTTGTTGCTAAGCACAGACGGGAACTGATGGCAACAAGAAAGCCAGCTGGTATCAGCATATTAATATCTGCCAAATATAAAATTTTATTGTCTTATCATTTTACAGCATATGACATCTATAAAACATATTGTTCACACACACGTACACTTTTATACACATGTTTAGTTTTCAGACTGAGCCATTATGTTCACTTGAGCAATATTTTGTGGACATTCCTGGGGTGTTGTTACTTGAGTTATGGAGTCTGTGGGACTCGAGGGAAGAAAGATTAAGCCAGATCAAATACAAGCCAGTGTAACAAAATTCATTATCTAACTTTTAATCACCTCACCTTTAATGAGCCAGTGTGCCCCTCTCTCCTTTCTCAACATGCATGCATGCATGCATTCACTTATACACTTCAACTGAGACATATCTGCATTCTCATAACTTCACATACAAGCAGTAGTATGTATACTTACAGATAAAAACATATTTTTTTATGCACATTAGTTATAGGTATATTATTGAATGGCTACAATACACATTCTTTTTCACATTATCATCATCACTATATAGCAGATCTTTACAGAACGTTACTTTCATCACGGTCTGCCTAAAAGAAATTCAGTTGCTCGCAAGCTCTCCTGCCTCGTGCTTTTTTCCAACCCAGATGTGGCTTATATCTTCTGCCCATCTTCATGTTGGTCTGCCCCTGCCTATCTTTACTGGTACCATGCTTCTGCTAATATCCTTTCCAATCCCCTATGGTGCTTGATATGGCCAAAAAATTTTAGTTTCTGAGAAAAGATGCTGTTTACTAGGCAATCTTCCTTGATGCTCAGATGTTTCAGGATGTCAGTATTTCTTTCCTTCTTGGTCCATGGTATTCTCAGAATCTTTCTATTGCATTTCAGCTCCAAAGCTCATTGTTTCTTCGTTATGACTGCAAGGGAAGATGCTTGTTCTTAAAATTTACTTTTTTTTTCTTGCAGGTGCTTTATCATAGGTTTTTGTTTCTGTTTGAGCTTTGTATTCTTGCATGCACGCATCAAATATCGATACATGTTTTTATAATACGCCTTTGAAGACAAAGAGGAGCAACTCATAACCTCTTAACATTGCTTCTTACCAGCCACCTCACAATGTATCAGACTTCTTCTACTCACCCGAGAATCAGGCAGCACTAGAGTACTTCCGTGTCACCTCTCAGGGTGAAGTGTCTGCCATCAAGAGTCTTGTCGGAGTACCTGCAGATAATTACACGGTATGTGCCTCTGTTATGTTCTCTTGTGGGTTCACACCCACCTGTAACAGGTACCTGGTGCACACCAGGAGTGGCTTACACATTGATTGCAGTCTGCTAGTTGACCAGCCCACTGTGACAAACAGCCCATGTTGGTCTGTATCACATTGTCTGCATCAACAATTGTTTTTTTTTTGTTTAGTCTATCCCTGTAGCCTGTATATAAAGTAGATCAGCAGTGATTTCTGAAATAAAAAGCAGTCATCAGACCTGAAAAGGTTGTCAACCACTGATGGCTGTCTCATCAGTGTCCATCTTACGGTCTCTCTTGGATGACCTCATCAGTTAAAAGAATTGCCATATGAAAGAGATTTGAATGCATAACCACTGGGTCAGCAGGCAGCAATTCTAGCCAGTGTGCCACCACAGATCTCTACATCTGACTTAAATGTGTGCAATTATTAGCTGAATACTGTATTTCCCCAAGTCTAAGACATACTTATATTTCAAAAGTACAGGGTCTAAACCCAGTGTGTCTTATACTGTGGTAGTATATTATTATTTGTTTCTGTTGGTCCCACTATCAAGGTGCTTTGTATACATGGGAGCATCTTATACTTGGGGAAATATGGTACATTAAATAGTCATTAAAAACAACTGGTAAAAAAGTTTTATTTTGCAGCTGTCAATTTTAACTGGGTTGATTTTTCATTTTATTCCTATAGTGGACCATGGGCCTCAGAGACTTGGGAACACCACAGATGACCAATATAATTATAGCCAGAGTGACTGTGTTTGTCATCAGGAACAGATACTCACCAATAATCGTCAACTGTCCTCCTGCTATAAATACAACAGTGAACGACAACGCACCAGTTGGGACAAGACTGTTCCAGTTAACTGTCAGAGATGATGATGGACCTGCCAATGTAGGTGTTGTTGATGTTAGTTCACTCGTCTGGGTCTTGTTATAAAATAAACTGTCAAGTTGTTGTTGTAACAACATATCATTGGTTATTTTACACATTAGAGGCTTTTCTTTCTTTGTTTCCACTTTCTGGAGGCAGTTAAAGTGATACATGTCTAGTCAGCCGAAGTTACTGTAAACTCAGTTTTGCGACAAAATAGGCTAAGTAGTTAGTTAGTTAGTTAGTTAGTTAGTTAGGTTATCATCATTGCACTCCGGACATGTCCATAGGTGCTCAGTATGAACCCCAACGTCCGATGGCTAATAGTACCAGTTCTATGTTGATTAACAAGTCTTCTGACGTGTCTGGTGTGCGTCTCGTTTTTTGCTGTGCCGATCTTAATTCCCAAGTCTACTATTCTGGCGAGTGATGTGGATTCACTGCCACCAAAGTCCTCTATCCTTCCCATTTCTCTGAGGGCATTGATAATATCAGCATGATCCATAGGCTGACCGTCGGTAGTGATAGCGGATCCAGCCAACCTGTCAGCTCTTTCATTTCCATCAACGCCTGCGTGTCCCGGAACAAATAACAAGTAACAAATAAGTAACTGGATTTCAAAGAGTTAACTATATATATATATGTATATATATAGGCAGTATACATGTAGGCAATATCTACTAAGAAGCTGTGACTCATGTTGATAAATATCAGGATCTTATAGGTTATAATGACATGGCATGAAAGGAGTAAAGGAGGTGAAGTAAAAATGTAGGCAGAACTGTTCAAGAACTAGAAGTGCCACAAGAGGTTGAGAAAGGTATATCATGCTGGTTAACACACACACAAATGCATGATAAGTTGTTTGGGACTAAATCAGTTGAGCACAATATTTCACACTAGTAGCCATGATATTTCTCCAGGATTGTGAGTCCCTTTGATGAGATATCTCATAATATTTTTTTATAATCTTAGTGCTGTGATGGTTAGTATACTTGTGTATAGGGAAAGCAGTATGTGATTTAATTCCAGACACTTTACTAGCACTATCCGTCTGAAACATTCTTGTAAAAGAGGCACAGAAAATGCAATTTTTGTGTCATGGTGAAGGCATTTAGCATGATACCAACCACATCTTATATTTGTTTCTTCCATTTGATCAATAACAATTTCAAATAATTCTAATATGCCATAATTACTTGTAAATGCAGTTTCCTGGCATGCCACGGTGCAGTATGAAATTACCTGCTCACCTAGTCTTCTAATTATCTTTTGTGAATTATTTTTTTTTGACAGCATTTAAAAATATTATATGTTGTCTGTCTTTTTATCATCGGTCGGCCAAAATAATACAGCCTTCTCCTGTTTGATTCTCCTGTAACTATTCTGAACACTCATGTATTTAATTCTCACATTATTTTTGCTTTATTGATCTGTCCTGATCTTGATATTTTTTATTTTTCGTTCCACCATGTTGCATGAAACTCTAATTTTCCATATAGAATATTTTCTATTCTGTTTGGGATGCAGAGATATGCAATGATCACTTTTTTTGCACAGGACTGCAGGTTACACCGGGCTAGTGTGGCCTTTATAGGTTCCCTAATTAGAACATCCTTGGAAGTTAAATTGGATATCTGAGCTTGCCCTGTTGGTCTGCCACCAACATATCAGAGTTTCTTTGGTCTCATGATGTCCAACGTACAAGTCTTGTTGGTCTGCCACTAAAACTGAGATTTTTTAGTCTCATGATTTCCAACGTACAAGTCTTGTTGGTCTGCCACCAACACATCTGAGTTTGTTTAGTCTCATGATGTCCAACCTACAGGTCTTGTAAGTCTGCCACCAATATATCAGAGGTTTTTTTTAGTTCCATGATGTCCAACCTACAAGTCTTGTTGGTCTGCCACCAACATATCTGAGTTTGTTTAGTCTCATGATGTCCAACCTACAGGTCTTATAAGTCTGCCACCAATATATCAGTTTTTTTTAGTTCCATGATGTCCAACGTACAAGTCTTGTTGGTCTGCCACCAACACATCTGAGTTTGTTTAGTCTCATGATGTCCAACCCACAGGTCTTGTTGGTCTGCCACTAAAACTGAGATTTTTTAGTCTCATGATGTCCAACCTATATGTCTTGTACTGCCACCAACACATCTGAGTTTGTTTAGTCTCATGATGTCCAACCTACATGTCTTGTAAGTCTGCCACCAATATATCAGAGTTTTTTTTAGTTCCATGATGTCCAACCTACAAGTCTTGTTGGTCTGCCACCAGCACTGAGTTTCTTTTGTCTCATGATGTCCAGCCTACAAGTCTTGTTGGTCTGCCACCAACACATCTAAGTTTCTTTTGTCTCATGATGTCCAGCCTGCAGGTCTTGTTGGCCTGCCATCCAGTCTGAGATCTTCCGACCTCAGGGTGCCAATATTTTTAGGTGGCAGCCTAGAGGGGATAAACAAAATTATATTTCTAGCACAAATAGAATATATAACTGTAATTGATGTCTTGATTTGATAAACAAACATTAGTCAGATGCCAGAAGATCCTAACAGCATGATAGAAGGCTAGTATGGTGGCAGAGACTTCTCCACCTCGTTTTCTTTAGTTGTAACCTATTAATTAATTTTATGTTTTAGATATTGTTGAAGAGGAGTGTGCTGTTAGAGAGTTCCACATGCTTGTCTACCTAGAAGGATATTGTGTTATTAGGCTGTGAAAGAAGGCCTGCCCATATGAGAAGCCTATTTTTTCATCTAGATTTTACAACTAAACTTCTTTTGTTATTTCAATTTAACGGTTTATATTTGAATCTTGTTTTTCCAGAGATATGGAAATGTTACTGTGCAGCTGATTGGCGATGATACAGCCACTGCTGTGTTTACACTTGACTCACAGTACTACATTGCTGTTAGTGGAAACCTTGCCTCCAGCAGTGTTGCCAGATATCAGGTACTTTGTTCATTTTACACTTATCACCTGATCTATGTGATTTTGTAAACAAGATAAGTTTGATCAAGATAATAAGCATTTACTGGAGAACAGGAGAGGTTAAAACACTGGTCTCACACTACAGATGATACATTTTGGATCATAAATGTATCTAGAGTGGAATAGAGATTCCAGCCTTTAAACTGTAAGGTGACTGCATAGGCTGGCAAGTTGTAAACCTCAGCCTAGTAACATTCTTCTGAGAGCTCCCACAGTGGTAAATTTGTTGCAACAGTCGTCTTTTTGTTGTTGTAAGGAACATTTACAAATGTTTTGTGCATCTCTATATAACATTTGACATGTTGTTTCTGTGCGCAAGATAACCAGTTTTAAAGCAGTGTAGGGTATTTGCTTCCATGTAATGTTTTTTTTAAATACCTGACTTGAAAATATAGTAAGCAAGGGAACTGATCATCTGTTCTAATTATGACTTCAAGTCAAAATATGTAGCACTTCTCAACACTGAAGTTGTATCTGCTTTAGTGCTTTCTTAAACTTTCAACTTAGAATATAGTAAGACTGAATTATTTGGAACAAGCATATTATGATGGAGCTGATTGACATGCCATAGTGACATACTGGAGCTATACTCATGTCTATATATTCTTGACCAAACAGCACTTGATATCCGGACCTCTTTCCCTCTTATAATATTGTCAACAACTAATTTGTTAAGGCTGGGCTGATCCTTAAAGTATGTGGTGACATACAATGTCTGCCTTTATTGTATTTACACTGATGACATCCAGGCAGCAGATTAGTGGATTAGCCACTGTTCAACTGCATGTTATGATGAACAGATGTTACACAACTACATTTGGCTTAGTAAGCTCAGGAGAAATTTCCAAATCTTTTGTGTTATTAGTAATCATTGAGTTAAGATGCCTGTTTTAGTAGAAAGATTTGAGGCTATATACATTAGCCTGGGGGAAAAAAGCAGTATGTAATCAGTGTTAAAGAAATACATATTAATTGACTAAAACTTTAAAAAAAAAATTTCAAAGAAGGCAGGGCAGACTTTGTTTCAAGCAAAATTAAAATGTCAGTTTTTAGTTCTTGTAGATCTTGTTACAACTGCATAATTATTGTTTTTAAATATTCACTGAGGAATATAAATTTGTTAATTCTGTGCATTAAATTAGAAGTTCATTCACATGTGAATTTTATTTTTTATGTTTGTCATCTTTCAGTTGAGAATTGTAGCATCAGATCTAGGAAATCCTCCAAGACAAACTACATGTGTGACTCCAGTGTATGTCGACCATAACTTATACACCCCTGTGTTCCCAGCCGGTGGCTTCTCAGCCCGTATACTGGAGATTGCACCAGTAGCAAGCAATGTGCTCAGACTCAATGCCACAGATGCTGATTTCTATGTAAGATCAGCACTCATCTTCATTTCACATAGACAGACACGCTCATACATACCCAGACAGACAGAAACCCATACTCATCTAGACACACAGAGAGACAGAAACCTATACTAATCTAGACACACACAGAGAGGCTGGTTCATAGATTTGATGACAAAAGACATATGTACAGACAGGGCAGGGCAAGCTTGGAACCATGGAGATGTAGAAGATGACCGAATAGATTTTCACAGGCAGGAAAAGATAACAGTGTCAGATTCAGACAAACATGCAGAGGCATACATGAACATGTTTGTGTTGTTTAAATATGATTTAATCTCTCTCTCTCTCGCTCTGTCTGTCTGTCTCTCTCTCTCTCTCTCTCTCTCTCTCTCTCTCTCTCTCTCTCTCTCTCTGCCGCATCTCTGTCTTATAATAATGTAAAGTATAAATTACTGACTTTATAAAAAAATATTTGCATTGTTTGTTTGAAACTATTGTTGATATTTTATTGCATGAAATGCTTGAATCAAATCAGATGTTGACTTGTTTATTCATTATTAGTCAATGACATTTGGTCATCATGTCTTCATGTCAGTCCATAGACCTCTACCGCATGTACTGCCAATAATTTCTGATGCTTGTATTATTCATGACATGATGCTAAACAGTTGACATCCTCTTTCTTGGCCCCTTTCTCTCTCTCTCTCTCTCTCTCTCTCTCTCTCTCTCTCTCTCTCTCTCTCTCTCTCTCTCTCTCTCTCTCTCTCTCTCTCTCTCTCTCTCTCTCTCTCTCTCTCTCTCTCTTCCTCATCATGGCATTTACAGAATTTTGTCATACCATGACTATGTTGAATAAAATCTGCACAAACTAGCTACAAAAAACAAGAAGCAAAAAAGTAAATGGAAAAGTATTGTTTCTGGACGAAGAGTAGATTAGATTTATTAATTATGATTGTTTAAAAATTTACACAATGGGAGAACATCTCCATAAAGAACATGGTTTTGTTATGGAAGTGATAGAGAATCTGAACCCTCTGGTCCTGAGATGCTGTAAACCCAGCATTTCTATCTGGGGCCAATCCCTGTAAAGCCACTAAACCCAGCATTTCTATCTGGGGCCAATCCCTGAAAAGCCACTAAACCAGCATTTCTATCTGGGGCCAATCCCTGAAAAGCCACTAAACCAGCATTTCTGCATTGGCTAGTCCTGAGAAGCCTTATTAATGGCATTGCTTCTGTTTAAACCTGTGCAGTGTTTTTATTAGGACCGGGTAAGGTTGTTTTCCTCTTTATATAGAAACAATTGGGTGGTGGTTTACAGTAAAAAGTGATATGAATTTCTGTAAACTCTTTTAGTCCCAAGGAATGCATCATACGTTCATAGGTTCCTACCTAGAAGCCTAATGAATGCATGATGTTCTGATTTTATTACTTTCTTTACTACCCCCTGGGCCTGTTATGCTAAACCCCCTGAGTTGAGGTCGAAGTAAATATATTCCTTTTGATTCTCCGTTTCATTCATGTTTATTGATTACTCCTCTTCAATTATTCCTAAGACATTGTATGTATATAAAAACATTTTAAAATATATTTGACTTTTGCAAAATGGTTGTAATTAAAGCATTTGAGGGGGGGGGGGGGGAGGCAGCATGGCTATTTGTAGAAAGGGTTTTAGGGATGAAAGGATTAAATTGCATTACTTATGTTTCTAGAAAATGTGATGGCTATTGATGGCTAACCTTTGACCATGTGTTACAATTTATTTTTCTGGAAGAAAAATATACCTCCCTCCCCCCTCCCCCTGACCCTATGTCTCTCTTTCCTCCCTTTTGTCCTTTGCTTTATTCCTCTCTTTCTTGTATGTTTGTTTGCTCCTTTATCATCCAAACATTCCACAAGGTAGAGCTATAAAGGATCATAAAATTTTTTTTTTAACAATGATATATACATTTCATGAAATATTTCCACAGAGTCCCTACAAGGATATTAGTTTTAGCTTTGGCAACAATCTGGGATCACAGCAAGCAGACACTTACTTCATTGTGATGTCCAGTGGTATGATCAATGTGCTGCGACCTCTGACACTAGACACCACTAACTCGACTGAATATCAAGTAAGCAGACCACCTGTTTACAAGCCGATATAATTATTCATTGTACATATAAATGCAAATAAAGACTGAAATATCAATGTCTTATTAACAGTTCAGGATAAACAGCATGAGAAACCTATGGCACAGCACTTGTAAGTGGGTCCAAGTAAACATTTTGAGATCATTCATCATTTCCATGGCAGCTTATGGTTGTGAATCCTGAATGCCTACTCAGTCTTTGAAAAAAAAAATGTTGGAGCTTTTGAATTGAAAGGCTACAGATACATTCTTAGAATACAGTGGACCAAGAATAAGAACAACTTTAACATCCTACAGGATTGGAACACTGAGGAGAACTGGCCCATAAACAACATCTTGTCCTTAAAGCTAAGGTATTTTGGTCATGTTAAATTTCATGGTGGCCTGGAGCGAACTGGTGATGGAGAGTGAAATTTCTGGAAAATGAGGCAGAGGCTCACCTCTGTGAATGTGGTTAAAAGACATTAAAGGTGCATTGATTATGAAAGCATATTGTGCTGGAGAATTGGCTAGAGGAAGAGAGGCTGTCAGGCATGCCATGAAGAGAGTGATTTTCAGTAAAGAGCCTGCTGACCGACAATAATGACAATTAACGGTTCACCACCAAGCAATATTGTTTTGGGACCATTTCTTACTTATCCATTTATTTGGAACGCTTTGAATAATTATTTGTCTGCTGATAGGTCAATTTTTCATTGTTTTTATGTGGTCAATTTTTCATTGTTTTTATGTTTGTTCACATGTGACTATCTTTGTCTCATGTTAGACATTAGCAATCATCTTTTTCAGCTAGCATTACATTTTTTGTGAGGTTAGTAATAATAGCATAACTTTGTTTTGAAATCCTGCACTACCTTCATAAACAGATTGTTTTAAGGGGTTTAGATGCACACATCAAGAATAGCTAAAGTCGTGCCCATGTGGGATGCAATTTTTAGTTATTCTGAAGCCCCACCCTGGCTTTTGCCAGGGGCCCTAAATATAGCCTGGCCTTAAATATGGCCTAACTGCTAAACAGGGTATCCAGGATCTCTCCACGGGTGATCATCATCCACATGGTGGCACTTTGTGTCACTAGGTTTTTAATCACTTTGTGTAATGTCTTGTTGGGGTACAACTGATCTACCTACCTACCTACCTACACACCAAGGAGCTGTCCTTTGTAGCCCTTCACTGTGAAGACGGCCACAGATTTGAATTAACATAGATCTAGAAAGTTAGATCTCAAATTATTATTCAGATGGCGGAATCCTATATTGATAGGCAAGTATTTAAAACTATTTGGATGTTCACAATGTTTGCTTCTTGTTCAGTTCACAGTCATTGCTAGAGATGGAGGTGGCCGACAAGCAACAGCATCAGGAACCATCACAGTTGTGCGCAATACCTATCCAACTATCACCAACATTGTATATAGCTTCAATGTCACTAGCAATATTACTGTCAACACACAGTTGGTGGATGTCAATGCTGACGACAAAGACCCTGATGTAAGTATGTTTAATTTGCTTGTACAGACAAGGTTTACTAACAGTTTGGAACCAGTTAAATCCACAGTACATTTTCTTACTATATATATAAATATAATTTTCTGCTGCCCTTAGCAGTTCTGATGGAGATTTTATGATGTAATAGAAATGTGAGTTTCTCAAATCTGATTACAAAAAGTCAAAATAGTGCTTGGAAAGTGCTCAAAAAAAAAGCAAGCACAGAGTGGATGGTTGGTGACTTTGATGTCGAAATAAGAAAAAGAAAAGAGAACAAAAACCAAGAATATGGTTAAAATGATCATGGTATATAGACTGGAAAAACCTGGTCTAAGATATGTTTGCACACATTAAATGCCCTGATCATAAAAAATACAACCAAACTGTCTACATGTGATTAACAAACATGTGCCCTTTGTGGAGCAGACACTGATCGTCATAGCTCTCCAATCCTCTCTGTTATCTTATATTTTGATGGAATATTCATTGCTCATATTATTCTATTACCCCACTATTAAAGCTGTTTTTTTTTTTACATGGAGTTCTCTGTATAAATATACATTCTGATTCTGTGAAGTTGTATTTTCAGATTCCATTCAATCAGCTGACCTATCAGTTAGTTGGAGAAACATTAGCTCTGCAGTACTTCAGCATTGATGCCACTGGTGTGATCACTCTCAGACAGAGTCTTGTTGGAGGTCCCAGTCAGATTATTGTGAGTATCCAGGTTACTTTCACTTTTGTTTCATTACAGTGACACTTTGCTGCCCACGTGTTATTGCATTTTTCTCCTATTTTTGTAAACAGGTTCCCTTAAATATTACATTGAGAATATTCCACGGAATTATCTGCTTTATACAAAAAGTTGAACATTAATTGTTAACAAAACTGGGATAATATCTCCATTTTCACTTTTTTGGGGGAGTCAGAAATATAACTTTGATTTTGTTTCATTGCAGCTGACTGTCAGAGTTTGGGGGAGTCAGAAATATAACTTTGATTTTGTTTCATTGCAGCTGACTGTCAGAGTTTGGGGGAGTCAGAAATATAACTTTGATTTTGTTTCATTGCAGCTGACTGTCAGAGTTTGTGATGGAGGAAACCTCTGTGATCAGAGAAACTTCTATGTGTATATCCAGCAAAATTTCAACCCGCCAGTCTTCTCAGCTAATTCTTACAATGTAACAATCCCAGAGACCACACCGGTTCAGACTGCCATTATCCAGGCAGGAGCTACTGACAAGGATCCGACAGCACCATACAATCAGATCACTTACAGAATGGAAACTACAAATGTGCGCTTTAGCATTGATTCAGGCAATGGCTCTATTCGTGTCAGCCGAGCTCTGACTGGAGAAACCGAAGCTTCATTTACTGTAAGTTACAGTCCTGCAGTGTTTAATTATTCAGTCAACTTTATGTTTAACTCTTTGAGCCCCAAGGAACGCATCATACTTTCATAAGTTCCCACCTAGAAGCCCAAAGAACGCATGATGCGCCGATTTTATGACTATATTTACTTCCCCTGGGCCTATGATGCTAAACCCCCTGGACTCAAAGAGTTAATATCCTGGCATGTTGAGAGGGTCTCATTATTCCAAATTTAGCATATTCACCCTTCACCCCACCATGGCTACACCAGAAAAAAAAAGAGCGGTGGGGGGGGGGGGGGGGGTTGGTATAACACGTGATTTTATGTATCTGGGATGTGACCTCATAGCACACCATCACCAACACAATTTTTTTTAAAAAATTTTATGTCTGTAACTAGTCAAGAAAGGTTTTAGTGTAGTAAAAGGGAAATAATGATCTCTCTCTCTCTCTCTCTCTCTCTCTCTCTCTCTCTCTCTCTCTCTCTCTCTCTCTCTCTCTCTCTCTCTCTCTCTCTCTCTCTCTTCTCTTACTCCCTCTCTCTCTCTCTTACTCCTCTCTCTCTCTCTCTCTCTCTCTCTCTCTCTCTCTCTCTCTCTTACTCCCTCTCTCTCTCTGTCTCTTTCTCTCTCTGTCTCTCTCTCTCTCTCTCTTTCATATACCCACACACACTTAAGTGTTCACACAGAAAGCCAAATATATTAAAGCAGTCTGCTTTGGCTTGGTCACATTTATGGTGTAGCAAGTAATTTACCATTTAAATGACTGCAGAGTTAATTCTGGTTAGTGTCTATAATCATTAGGAAACAGTCATTTTGTTGTTGTTGTTGTTGACAAGAATGCAGGAACATTAACTTTCAAACTAGGACAGAGAATAAAGGACACTGCAGTCACAAACACATACATGTATACAGAAACAGAAAGAGACAAAAGAGCATTATACTCTGGCTATAGTTTCACATCCATGTGTTTCCCTGGCTCATTAGAAAAATATAACAAAGAATAGTAACACTGTAACCTCCCACACATGTTGTCAGAGAAAGTTTAAGGCTTTGGTCTGAGCGTGGCTGCCTCATCATGTAAAATAAATTGGAGCTGCATAATAAAGCATGTCCACCTGTTTCAAGGGCTGTGCAAGAAGCATTAGCATGGAAGAAGTGGGACATTCTGCAACTTTCAACCTTTAGTTCTGAGTTGTCAACATGTGATTTTCATTTGTTCGGACCTCTTAAAAACTTGCAAGGAAAAGGGATTTAATGCAGATACAGATGGGCAATTTAATAAGGCAAGTATCCAGGCAAGAGTATGTGTCTAATTTTATACGAAAACGCCGCTGGAACTATGTCGGTCACGCCCTTAGAATGGATAAATCAAGACTTCCTTACCAAGCCCTCATTTGGACACCACAGGGGAAAAGATCTCGTGGAAGACCAAGGGAAACTCTACGTAGAACTATCATCAGGGAAGGCTCGCTCATGGGCCACTCAAACTTCCAAGACCTACAACAGATTGCAACGAACCGCCATGCATGGAGAGTCATGACCTCTGCCCTATGTGCCGCACTTGACACAAGAGGAAAGACTAACTAACTAACTAACTAACAGATGGGCAGATGTAATGAACTCAGTAAATACTTGGTTTAGTGAGCAGCCACAATCTTTTTTCTATTTTGTTTTAAATATACTTTTTTTTGATTTAGCGGACAGCCTTTGTCACCTACCTAAGCAATGGGATGCTTGCCTGAATATCTAAGGCAATATTTTGTTGTTGTTGACCAGCTCCGGGTGCATGATTCAAAAGTTAAGTTAAAGTTGAGAGGATCGACTATATGGCTCGGTTTCTCTCTGCAGAATGGCTAGCTTCTTGCCAAAAGTCATGAACTGAACTATACAGCCATAAAACAAACCCACAACTTTTAGAGCTTGGGGCAAACAGCTTGACCACTGTTCCACAGAGACCCACCTGGTGCATAATTTGTTCAAAATGAAATGCTTTGTTTAATTCTGATTAACCACCAAATGAGAACAAAGATTTCCAGTCTTTATCAGCTTAACAGCTTTTCCACACAGAAATACATAAACACATTTCTATTTAGTATCATCTACTGCAAATAAAATATCTCTAAATCCTTTTTCCATCCCTCACGAAAAGGAAATGCTCCTATCTTTGGGAGCCATTGCTGTTTTGATACTTTGAAGTCATGGTTTTCGTTTACTTTTTTTTTCATGAAAAAGTTTCAGCTCATGAACTAATACATACTGTTGGATATCATAAGATGTTGAGGAATATGATTTGCTCATGTCACTCGGCTAAGGACTTTATAATAAACTTCAGTAAAACCTCATTAACACACAAGTAAAGGGCCATTTAATCAAAAGTTCATGTTAATAAACATTTATGCTAACTGAGGATTCAAAGTGTACATCCCTGCAGGGACTAAAACTTTGTTCTTGTTAACTGAATATACATCTGAAGCGAGTTCATGGTAATGAGGTTTCATTGTATTCACAGTGTGTGTCCTAATTTGCTAAGACTCAGGCCACTATTGTTTTCTGTTGTTTTCAGTTCAACATTTTTGCTGTAGATGGAGGTGGTCTGACTAGTGCACTCATCCCTGTAACAGTCTTCATCATCAGAAATGGCTACTCACCACTGTTCTCTAATGCTACATGTGATGCTGGAATACAAGCCAGTGTAACTGTGGGATCACCGGTAGCAGCTGTAATGGCCACAGATTTAGATACACAGGTAAGGGCAAGGTTTGCTTGAAGAATATGAGATCATCCGTGTCTTCTGCTATTATCCCTCAGTGCACTATATCCATTTTTAACTATACCAGGTTAAACCTTCAATTCTTCTATCTTGTATTGCTTCTTTCATGTCTCAGAATCAGATAAAAACAAAGACCTCCACTGGATATGCTTTCTCAATGAGTCAATGAGTTTGCTCACAAAAAGATGGAGGTAAACTGATCTCAAAAGCTTTGGTTGGAGTCTCTAAAGTAGTCACAGCTAACAAAAAGTAAATGTTATAGCAGGGGCATGTGGATGTACAACAAATGAATACATTGATAGGATTGTGGGCATTGCTGCTGTGGAAACCAGACAAGCAATGAATCAGGACGATGTACTGAATGTTCCACAAGAAGTAAGACAATTAAAAAATCATGTGATGACTGTGAATCTGTAACCTTGCGTAGACTGTTAAAACAGCAAGTCTAAAGGATTTATGACCATACAAGAACACTACACAGAGTGCCAGAGAAGAATAGTACACTAACACAGAACCAGTCTGGTCAGCTGTTACACTCTGAGGGATATCTCTAAGGGGATCTGAGCACGCGTGGTTTAAATGGTTCACTGTACTGTGAGGATGATTTGTCCACCAATTCCAGTAACTCACAGAAGGGAAACACACAGTAAAAGTGGCACCAAGAGATATCAGAAATTGTAACCATATTTTTTAAATTTTTCAATGTTTGAAATTATTAAATTTCTTGTATGTTATGTCTGAAATTTCATAATTTCTAGCTTTGTACGTTTGAAACTAATTTTTTCATAATATTGCAAGTACAAAAATCTTATCATTCATAAAAATCTTTTTTTAAATTGTCTATTTCTAATTGTAATATATCTTAAATTATCAATTTTTGTCATCACATGTTTGTTTGTATACATGCACCTGAATGATACAGGTATTGAGGTGGACTCATGGGAACAAAATGTCATGGACCGTGTTGTGTGGAAAGAGCATACCAGGAAGGGAATGAGAGTGAAGGAAGAAATGATTGCAGAAAGATGAGAGCTGAGCGTCTGAAAGAAACGGATTAAACACATATGTTGACAACAATGGTCCTGAAATCCCATGCTCTATTTGTGGAAGACTTTTCTGGACACAGGCGGGCCTTGATAGTCACACTCGCCATCGCCATGGGCTGTGAGTCTCATGCCTCCTCATAGCGCAATAAAACACTATCGTCTGGAAAGACGGAAAGGAGCCAAGTGAGTGAGTACATGCATATTGTGTACATTTGGACCCTCTTATCCCAGAAACCCTGAGGAATTATTGGCATCTTGGGTAATTTTTGTCTAGTTACGTGTGCCTGAAAACACTTGCCTGTTTGTATACACCTGAAACTTTTGTTTCTATGTTGTGAGTTTTAAACTGACATATTATGTTGTTTGTAATATAATTGTTCCTTGCCAAACAGGTACAACACGTGTAAGTTAGATATACTGCAGTCATTGTAATTGTAGTTGTTTCCCTTATTTCTTATTCTTTTCTGCAGCTTGAATTCGGCACATCTTCTATTAGGTACATCATCATTGGGGATGATGGTGCCCCTAACTACTTTACTATAGACAGCCAGAGTGGGCAGATTTTAGCAGCCAGTGGAATTGGCTCCAGCAGCACTGATGTCTTCAGGGTAAACATGTTTGTTCATATACCAGAGAGAGAATATAAAATGCTTACTGTTAGTTTTTTTGATTGAGGCAGTTTTAGAATATTTCTGTCTATGTATATGGGCTGCTGAGTTCCAGCTGAGAAGGAAAGGACTTATTCTGAGTTCAAGAAGATGAACCATTAGGAAAGCCAGTGGTACTCTTTTGTATGCATCCTCAAGATCAGTTGCTGCAGCACATGTTTTAGTGCCTGACGTTTAAACATTTGTACACATTGTGGGATTACAAAAATATTGCGGCGATGGTCCAGGTTTCTCTGTCTGGGCAGTAAATTCCAAGGTTAGTTGGAAGAAGATGTCGCCTTTCAAGCTGGCATGATATTTGATTAGCACATCTTTTCTCCAGCAACTCACTGACTCTCCAGCCTTGTGTGCTTTCATAGCCAATGCCACTTCAGTGTCTTGTACCTACCTTCATTAAAGTCAGCCTCTGCCTCATTTGCTGGAAACTGCACCCTCCATCACCAGTTTTTCCAGGCAGTCATGACGTTTAACTTGGTCCAAATCTATTGCAAACATCACAGATCCACAAGGGTTGTTATTTATTTGTACTAAAGTGTTTAATCATCTGAGCATTTATTTTTTCTCAAGATTGTAAATAGTCTGCTGAATGACGCTATATTAGACAAATCAGTGCCACCATATAATCAGTTGTTTCATCCTGACATCTATGCAGGTTCGAGTAGAAGCAAGAGATGGTGGTGGGAAATCAGCTGTCAAGGTCTGCACCATCACCGTGACCAGAAATCTCAACAGTCCAGAGTTTTCCCCTGCAATATATTCTGCCCGAATTTTGGAGACATACCCAATACAGGCCTCAGTGCTCCAAGTTACCATCACAGATGCTGATACAAGTGTAGGTTCTTTCACAGTACTGTATAAATCTATTGTAGGTACTTATATGTTCACAAGTGTAGTGTTTTTACTCTACACTTTCCAAACCCATTTTTTTGTTTGTTTTTGTGTGTGTGACAAGTCTATTATTTGGAATAGTTCTCATCATGTTTTGTAAATGTAACTTGAAGCTCCATGCTTCTACTATATATAAAACTTAAAAATACCATGTCTCAAAATGTGTAGATGTCCAGAAGAGATTTTGTAGACATGCTGAAATGGAAAATGAGCTTTTACTGAATCTTGAGTCTCAACTATTAAACTTTTCTAAGTAGAATTTAGTAAATCTGTGATGTTTAGATGTTCTTGATAGAACCAGTTTTTTTGTGAGTCCTTCTGAAGGCTTAGCTTTATAATTACTCATCATCACAGCACTTAGCAATTCCTTTGCAGAATATTGCTACAGTCATAGTGCACTGGAGAGACATCCAGTCCCTAGCAAGTCTTCAGTAGTTGCATGACCAGAATGTCTCCAGTATCATTTACCTACCTTTGTGCTGGTCTCAGAACTACAAACATAAAATCACTAGAATGACTATACACACACACACACACACAAATCAGCATTAGTCATATGAAAATCCAGTAGGTTTTTATTTTTTATTTTTTAAATTAGCTCAACTTGCAGTTTACAGGCTTACTGTTGTATGCTAACACACATATATATATATATATCTTCACAGCCCCCAAGTAACCAAGGCAACTTCAGTCTTTCAGGAGATGCGCTTTGTCTGGAATACTTCCAAATACAGGACTACTCTGGAATCATCTCTCCCAGAAAAGATCTTAGATTTAATAAGGCAAAACCAGCAACGTATACTGTGAGTGCATTTTTATCATGGATTGTTTCAATAGTGTTTCCATACATAATAAAGTATTCTCAAATTTTGGATGTATTTCTAACACCAACAGATATTTCTGATGACTTCTGTAGTCTGAGGCTGGTTAGTTAAATGCTTAAGTTTATTTTCTCTCTTTATGTGCTGATTGTTTCTTTAGTGTGAACTATAACTGCATTATTACATTGAACACTTATGTCAAAAATGCAAATTGTGCATGTTGTCACCAACAGTGTTTGCTAATAACATGGGATGCAGTCCCTCTTGTATGACGACATTCTTTGTTCTGCCTTTGTTTACTGCACACTCTTTACGTAGTGGTGACCTGTGGATTGATTTTCACTTCAACTTTATTACAAACTACTATGTTGATTTGCTGCAACTAGGATAGAGACATGCATCAAGATTTGGTTCCTGGACATATGGCTGAATGTTGCACTGCTCTCATACAGGACACTTTAAAAGATGGTTCATTGTTCATTTCAAGATCATCTTTATTGCACATCAGACATGACCAGAAGATTTAAATTGATATTATCAGCCTAAATTACATGACCATAAGATTTAAATTGATATTATCAGCCTAAATTACATGACCATAAGATTTAAATTGATATTATCAGCCTAAATTACATGACCATAAGATTTAAATTGATATTATCAGCCTAAATTACATGACCATAAGATTTAAATTGATATTATCAGCCTAAATTAGAATTTAGTTCTGGTGATCTGAAAAAGAGGGAATTCAATGGCAGGATAGAATCCCTAATGTAAATCTCTAGAGAGAAACAAAAGAGATCAAGAGATGAGGAAAAGCATTGTATATGAAAACACTGAGAAACTCTCTAATAGTATGTGTAACTATAAAGTAATTTCACTGGAACACAACAGAGTCAAAGCATCCACACACACATGCACACATGCGCGCGCACACACACACACACACACACACACACACACACACACACACACACACCCCTACAGAGACACTCAGACACCTCAAAAAAAAAAACACACACATACACAGACAGACACATAAAGAGACACACATGGACACACAGAGACACACACAAGCACACACACAGACACACATACAGATACGCACACACAGAAACAGACAGACAGACACACACACACACACACACACACACACACAGACACACACACACACACACACACAGAGAGACACACACAGAGGCACACACACACAGCCACATACATGCAGCCAGACACATACACAGACACATGGACACACAAGACACACACACACACACAGTGAGACACAGATACACACACACATGGACACACACAGTCGCAGACTCACAGACACAAAGATAGACACACATACAGACACATGGACAGACACACACACACAGGAGAAAAAATAGGATGGCTTGGCATGTTGAGGGTTGAACTCCATTGGCAACAGGCTGAAGAAGAATAACAATGTAATTCAGCACGGTTATGACACTGTACACTGTTAGTGTGTTTATAATATGACTCCTTGAAACATTATTACTGTTATTTATTAAAACAGTGCACAGTAACAGTAACAGATCGGGGTGTGCCACCTCGCAGTGGTACCAATACAGCAACAGCAACTATCGCAGTGGTGTACAACAAAGCTCCATCCTTCAACCAGAAACTGTTCAATGTCACTATCAGCCGCACCATCCAGGACGGCGCCCCTGTTGCAAGCTTCACAGCCAGTGATCCAGACACAGATGTAGGTCTCATTGTCGTGTTCCTATTTTGTTTGTATCTTCGCTCCTTTATCCTTTATGTGTCTTTCTGTGTGTTTTCTGTGCTCCTTTCCTTCCTCTACACTTTACACACCATCAACATACTTATGTATTCTTCCCCCCCCCCCAAAGTCCCCTAAATCCCCAGTCTCTCTCTCTCTTCTCTCTCTCTCTTTCTCTCCTCTCTCTCTCTCTCTCTCTCTCTCTCTCTCTCTCTCTCTCTCTCTCTCTCTCTCTCTCTCTCTCTCTCTCTCTCTCTCTCTCAGGGTTGATGGTATACAAATATTTCAATCTTTTTGGAGGGAAAAAAACTGCTTGGACGAGTTCAAGAGATACTATAAAATATATCTTAGACACATTAAACTGTTTCTTAACCACCATACCCTTAAGTACCAAAAAAAAAAACAGATATTGAGGTGCAGTGTCTAATAGAAAAATCCTTTATTATGTGCTTCACTGCAGATTTTTTTTAAATTTGACCTGATTACCTTAAAATATTGCTGCATTCAGTGTTCACAGAGCATGGGACACATGGGTGTTCACTGAAATTCTATAAAACTTTAACTATTCTTTTAACTTAGCACTGTTGTTTTATATTAAACTTACACCTTAAAGCCTTTTGAAGTGTTTTTTTTCCTCCAAAAAGATTGAAATATTTTTATACCATCAACCCTCAGAGACAGAGAATTAGATATACATACACACACACACACACACACACACACACACACACACACACACACACACACACACGACAACCTGTGCCCTGTTTGCCAGTATTGTAAAAGAGGGTCATTTCAAGTTTAAAAACATTGTGTTACTTCATAAACACTTTGGATCCTCAATGGGTTAATATTCGTAGTTATCTGCATTTCTTTCATATGCATGGAAAACTTCATTGTAAGAAGAGATTTACTTATAGATGTGCCAACAATCTGTGTTTCCGGGACAGCAAATTCCATGAATACTAACAGCAGCAGTGTCAAATAATTAACTTCCCCTGTACTGTATTGGGATGCTATGTTCTCTGTAAAAAAGAATGCACGGTTCCTAAATTTAGAAATTACTTTCTATTGGCAGTAATTATTTTGTATTGAATATAAAGTATGAAATTTGGAATTGGAAAGGGGTTTTGACAACATTTGTGAAACAGCGAACATATTCAAATAAGCATTGTTTGTTTAGGAAAGGAAGAAAAGATTTAAAATTATTAACATGAAAAGACCATAAATGTTTATAAGACTGCCGATTCCTAATTCAACATTCAACATTCGCTGTCTGTAATGAGTAGCTTGGCATATAATGTTATGTACTGAATGAGTTAATGTCCATTTGTGTATGGCTGTTTACATTCTGGTCACTATCAGGCTCCCTTCAGCACAATCATAGTTTACATGATTGGAGGCCCAGATGCAAACTTCTTTACGCTGAATACAAATAACCAGCTGACAGTCAGAAATGCAGCAGATTTGGCCTTGGAAGCTGACACCAAATACACGGTCAGTATTTGTGACCATAGATGTGTTATTGTTTCAAATGTTCTGCTTGTGTTTTGCATGAAGCTGATTCAGTTCCTCAAAGCAGTTTTAGTGGACTTGAGAAGATTGAGTAAAATTTTTTGTATTTACCAAAAAAAAAAAAAATATCTTTTGAACTGAAACAATTCTCAGTTTACCATAGAGGAAGATATTGGTACATTGGTGGGAGGGAATCTTCAAGAGGAGTGAGTTGTAACTCATGAGTCTGACAACTGGTATCAGGTCATAAAGCTGCTGGGAAAAAAATGATTGTATTTATCAGAATGAGGTTGTTGTAGACTATTCTAATGTTCCTGTTCAAGAGTACCATGTCTGTGGTGACTGTAATGTAGATCTCTACTGTCCTCCTCCAAGCAAAGAAACCAAGGAGGTTGTTCCCTGTAGCTTCACATTGGCTAGAGTTTTATTAGACTACAGTGAAATTATGATCCAGTGCTCCAAATACAGGCTGTCGGGATCATGTCTAAGATAGTTTCTAGCACTATTTTTATGAATGTGTTCACTTGACCTTTTTCTGCCCAGCTCACTCATTGCTTTCTGTGATGTCAGCACATCACAAAGGAAACAAGTAGAGTCAATACTCTAGATCGGTGCTTATATGTTTCTACAACTGAATATACATGTTTACTAATGTTTAGAAGGTTTGTTTCTGTGTAAACATGTGTGGCTTCTGTAATCCTTCATCTCATCAATGTTTCACAGTAGGCATCTTCTGTAATTACTTAAGTCTAGAATTTTAGTCTCTGCGGCGAAGTGGCTAGATGCTTGACGCGGATCGGAAGGTCGTGGGTTCGCTCCCTGGCGGAGCCAGCTTTTTAAAAAAAAAATGACCTTGGCTCTCAGGTTGACCCAGCCTTGAGTGGGTACTGGGTGCAGTCCCAGGAAGTAGAGGTGGCCGGCGTGATGATGTCCTCATCACCAATCTTGTGCCGATGGTCTATAAAAATATAGGTCTAACCCTATATGCCTAAAGGCATGGAAAAGGGTCCTTTACTTACTTTACTTTACTAGGATTTTGAATTACAGAAATTAAACCTGGTTATTGATAGTCCAAAAAAACTAAATAATGAAAGAAGAAAGGTGTTTATTAAATAATAGTAAACAATAAAGAAAAATGAGCGTCTCAGCTGTAGCATAAGCTAGAAGAGAATAAGTGATTAAAGACACAAGAGAGAAGAGTGTCAATGCGATGTTTTTTCATGGACAAACTTGCATTGTAACTTAGTTACAGTTTATGTTTTTATAGGTGTGATATTGTTTCCTACTGTTTTGAATTGTCACTATTCTAATCAAGACAGTTCTGTAGATTGTTGTCTTAGGTTTAGTGTGTATGAGCTGATTGTTACATTAGTAAACAAATTATATGCGTCTTCCTAACATACTAGATTGGATTTCAGACATCATCAGTTATGATGTGATTACCATAAATGTGCCTAAGCTTTGAAGAAAGCTGCAGTTACATAATTCTGTATCTTCACAGGTTGTCTTCGTTGTTGTTGATGGAGGAGACCCACCGCTGAATGATACAGCTGTGGTGGAAATTAACCTCATTCGTAATCTGAATGCCCCAGCGTGCGATACCAAGCAGCCAGTCACAATCAACTATACTCAGCCACTGGGTGTCCCCTTTGCTAACATTACAGCCAAGGATTCTGATCTGACAGTATGTTAATTATGTGTTTCTTGGTACAGCTTCTATGCAGGTACAAGTACATTAGTGTTGAGCTTTCATAGTGGGTGGGTCTGTTCTTAAATATTCAAATGTGAATACCCCAGTGTGCGATGCCAGGCAGCCAGTCACAATCAACTATACTCAACCACTGGTTGTCTCCTTTGCTAACGTCATAGCCCAGGATTCTGATCTGACAGTATGTTAATTATGTGTTTCTTGGTACAGCTTCTATGCAGGTACAAATACATTAGTGTTGAGCTTTCATAGTGGGTCTGTTCTTAAATATTCAAATGTGAATACCCCAGCGTGCGATGCCAAGCAGCCAGTCATAATCAACTACACTCTACCACTGGGTGTCACCTTTGCTAATGTCATAGCCCAGGATTCTGATCTGACAGTATGTTAATTATGTGTTTCTTGGTACTGCTTCTATGCAGGTACAAATACATTAGTGTAGAGCTTTCACAGTGGGTCTATTCTTTAATATTCAAAATTCCTGTAAGGGGAAATGAGTATTTGTGAAGATCTAACACTTTAAACCACTACAGCATTGTCTCTTAGGTAGTTACCCTGACCTTATTTGTAGTGAGGCTCTGAGAAGGATGGATAAAGTGTATTTAATAACAGTTAATAAAGAAATACAAATAGCTGTTATAGCATCATTTGGGCAATTTCTTAAACCATAAAGCAATTTACCTAAATTTCTAGAATCACTCATTGACATAAGTACATTTTCTGATATTTAAAATATTTCAAGCAAGTAAGTAAGCACACAGTCAACATTCAATGTAACATTTCCCTCATTTGGAACCTAAAACATGAGCAGAAAACTTGAAGAACATAAACAATAATGTAAGACAACATTCCATGGGTTCAACTGTGGAATATTGATTCTTGGCTCTTTAAGCCCTTTTGCTGCTGCGCCCTCCGCCAGACAACGTAACCACTGTGCTGAGCCAGGCGTTTCAAATCCAGTTGATGTAGATAGCTAGGTCATATGGTTACTGGTCAGTCTTGTTCACAGCCAGAAGTCAACGTGTCCGCCGGCGTGCCGCGAAGATAACCCAGCTCATATAACTCACACGTTTCAAAGTGATCCTTACTACTACTCCTTGAAAGAAACTCCATTAATTCTTCTTTATTTAAACAAATGTTCTTGTTATTTTGTATTTAAAAAAAAATTTAGACTAATGCAAAACCAGAAATATATTTCAGGGCAAAAAAATTACCGTTCACCGACAATGCTTCTATGGTAACGAAGCAGCAGGATAACGTGAAATGCATCTAAATAGGCCTAAACTCACCTGATAGGGGTTTTAATTGTATGTAAACGGGTCAGTTTGATCAGATTAAGGTAATGTGTATTGCTATTTCACCTCTAACAATTACTGTTCTTAGCAATCTGTAAAAAAATGTTGTGGACGAGATATCTCGTCCTTAGCAGTGAGGGCACAGAAAATGGCAGCCGAGTTATCTCGTCTTTAGCAGTCTGCCGGGCAGACGAGTTATCTTGTCCATAGCAGCGAAAGGGTTAAGCCATAAACTGTTGTTACTTTAATATTTCCTGAGCCCAAATGTGTGCACTGTAAAGCCACAGTCTTAGAGTCTTACTGTGTTCAGTAATATATCCGGAACTATGAAGTTCCAATAAAAATAAAATAAAGTGTATTACTAGACCAGAAAAATAGAACAAAAACATAACATCTAAAGAGTTACCATCAACAAATATATGGTCAGTGTGTAGTTACTATGAAGTACTTGCTGTGTCTAGCATTATGAGATTAACAGACCCACTCTTTTCCCTACTGCATTTTATTTTTGGAAATATTTCAAGTGCCTGTTTTATAAGAATATCAAACCATGCTGGTGAGAAAGTTTCCAGTAAGACTGTGTTAAGAGGCTGTTACAAACTGAGATTATGAATTATGTT